TTTTCCTTCAGCAGAATGAATTTGATTAATTTATATATTACAGATAATAAGTAAACTTATGAAAGAATATGCAGATTTTGATAGAGGCCAAAATCATTAATGATGCTGTTGCCTGTCTTGAAGTCTAGCTTGATCCTTTGAACCCAGTGACAACAAAGTGGAATGACCCAAAGTTCACAGTATCAGCTTTCAACAATTATGGATACTTTCCATTGTTTGGTCAGCAGAAAGCAGGAAGTAATGAATGAAGTATGAATCGTTGGAATGATATTAGGACTGTAGTGCATGGGTTGATTAACTTAAATGAAAATGAATTTCTGCTCTGATTTTATTTGTAAGGAATGTTCTGAAGCTGTGTGCTACATTGGAATTGCTGAAAGCTTTCAAAACAAATTTTTGAAAGACAAAGAATTTGAACATTCATTTGTTGGACTAATGTCCATTTCCCTCAAAATAGTGCACAATCAGCTAATGTTTAGCATTTTCAAACTGGTCTTGGCTAAAAAAGTTAGTTTCACTAATGTGTTTTCAGTAAATGTATACGAAGATGGGCTGTAGATATAACTCAGTGTTTCTTTTGAATGCAGTGTGTTGTACTACTCTGTTTAAACCTTAAAAATTGTCTTTGTGCTCTCAATTATTTTTTTTCTCCTAATTAGATTAGATAATTTAGTAAACATGGGGCCTGCAGTCTATTTAATGTATTCAAGCTACATCATGTTATAAGGATGTGGGCTTTCTAAGAGTCTGGCCTGCTTTAGGAAAATTCATTCCTCTTGTAGGAAATTCGTGTACTGTGTTGGACCCAAATCAGGAGTTGGGCTGCACTGGAAATCCATGCTTTCCGGGTTGTGAAAATAGCAGCTTCTAAACAAATGGAGATCTGGCAGTGCATTAGCTTCTTAGCTGCTTTAGATCAGCTTTGAAAAATGCAATTTCTCATGTCCTTGCACAGACATGTGCATACTGTACTGTGCTGAGGTGGTTGTACAGTTGTACGTGATGCAAACTCTTTGAAAGAACTCTTTACTTCAAGTCAGTGAATTGATTGCTCTCTTGGATAAATTAATTTTCAGGTAATTACCTTCTTAACCACCTGCTTATTTATTAAGCTGCTTAAATGGTTAGTTTATTGTAAGCCCAAGCAAATTGTTGTTTTATGGTATAAATTTACATAAAAGAATAGAAAATGCCGAAAATTCACTCATGAAGCTTCTGTATGCTCTTTAATGCCCTAGCCAAGCCAGTATTGCAGGAATGTTCTGCCCTTCGATAGGGAACACTCCCTAGAATTGCTTCATCGCTTGAAACCTGAGCTTAGGTTAGGTTTAGGCCCTTCACAAAGTTGAGAGGTAAGTGGTGTTCATTGTGCGAGTTCTGTCCTTCTCCAGTTGCTGCAGCATCAGGTACTTTGGATTGTTAATTCCAGTGATTTTAGCCTACATGGCCATGGTACTGTCCATTAAATGGGTGTGCACACGGAGTAATACCTTGCTTTTTAAAGCAGTTGTCAATTTTTTTGGGCTTGCATCCCAGCTTTTGTCTTTATTTCTTTTGGGACTGCTTATTTTATTTTGGAGCTCAGGGCAGTCCTTTATTACTTCCATACTAACTTTAGCTTATAATGTATTTTTGTTGCAGAATTCTGCAACCAGGGTGGCTGAATTTTTATCAGTTTTGTCATTTTATGACATTTTATGTCAGTATTTGCTGGGAAATCAGATACTTATGATCTGTAACCTCATAAGCAATAGCTACCCATCTCACTGTTTTGCTATGTTTTGTATGTTTTGAAAACATACAACAAGAATGGCAATACTTGGTCAGAAGAAACAATACTGTCTGTGTTCATGGGGCATGTATTTCTGGGAGAAAGGAGTAGTAAAGATGATACGGATACCATTCAGGACCAATTATGTTGTAAAACAGGTGTCACAATATGACCAGTAATTGCAGAGTCTGTCTGTTATTAACAGCTACATCCTTTTTGTTACATACATATGGTGATAGAGGTTTAAATATGGGTTGTATACACATGGTTGGCCACAAAGCAGTTACATGTAATCTGGCAGATCTTAGAAGGAGGAGTAGTTTGAGAGGCGTTTTAATGTAATCCCTACATACTCCCATAGTTACTTTTCTGACATAGGGGGAAAGAGTAACTTTGTGGTTTGTGGAAAGTAGCCTGTCTTCTCTCACCTTACTCTCTGTTACTATCATGGCTGTTACATTTACATTTTGTAGAAGTATTTCAGGATTTCAGTTATTATACTTAGTTGTAAAACTGCTGCAAAAGCCTCATAGTTTCATGAAAGAAACTTTTCTACTTTGAGGTGGTAGTTCAGGCTACTACATACTCATATGTGGGACCTGGAGTATAAGATGAGTATGTGAGGAAAAAATCTTTATGTGTGTTCTATTTGTTTCTTCCTTCCTTAAAGAGAGTGAGAAGGCATTGCTCTTCAGGTCTGTGAGCTAGATGAACTGTTGCTCTGACCCACTATAGCTGGTCCTGTTTCTTTAGCAAACTCATAATACAGTGCCTTCTTCCTTGAATTTGACAGTGTAATTTATGTACACAAAGACCTGAATTACAGTCTGCAACTTTTCAATGTTTTTGGTTAGAGTGAAGATCATCTGTGTTATAACAGGAACCTTGCTGGGTGTGCAGGTTGTGTCTATGAAGGACATGGAGAATGGCTGTTTGGTATTAAAAGATTTTGAGCATCACTGAGGGCTGATTTCCTTCTTGCTAGCTCTTATGAATTTGTTGCTCAGTTTCAAACTGAGAAACGTTCTGTCTAGCTTCAGGCAGTAATGAGGAAGGAAGAAATACTGTTGGTCTTTATCAGCAAGTCAGACAAAAATAGGAAGAGAACGGAAAGCAAAGGTAGTAAGATTTGCCTTTTTTTCCCCTTAAAGCATGGTGGCTTTTAACAAGAGGTTTTTTTCTGCTGCAAAATTGTGGATTATTGGACCACTCTAAAGTGTTGGCTGTAGTCGTTAATTGTGTAGCATCATTGCTGATCTTTATGCCATTATGGCTAATAAAGCAATTGACACGTTTATGTCTGTGTGACAAAATATTTTGTGAAAAGTTATGTTGTTGCCTTGCGTCACTGGTATAGAGGTTCAGTTCCTATTCTTCTGTTAAAGGTTTTCTTCTGCCTTCTGAAGACGTGTAGAAGGCATAGCTGAAGCAGCCTCTTCATGAGGAGCTGTCAGACATGTACTTTCTTGTTAGGCTTTACTTTGGAGTTTTAATATTTGCAACACAATTTGTCATTATTATTAAGTGAAAGTTGTGAGTTTAGTGTACAGCTGGTGGGTTTATCTGGTGTCTTTATCCTTTCTCAGTTTGTCGTGTTAGTTTAGCAAAACAAAAATAAACTTGCTGTTATTCTATGTGAATACAGCATTGAAGTTCTGAAGCCAGAGTGACTAAATAGCCAAAAAAAAAAAAAGCTGTCTGATAAGAAAAGCAGTACTTTCAATCTGAAAATGCTGGTTAAGTCAAAACTGAAACGTTTTGCAAGGGTGGATTATTGTAAAAAAGATTAATTTTTTTTAAATGTCTGAGATGTGTGGTCATGCTGAAAGAGCTGAAGATATGCTCTAGGAAAGCAAAATACCTCAGGGATTTTTTGGGCAGTTGCTTAGGAAGTTGGCTGCGGGCAGTGGGAAGAAGGTTACACCGCAGAGTCCCAGGCCTTCCTGATACTGGCAGCTTGGATCTTGGTCTTCCACTTTCCCACAAAGGCCTACATATCTAAGCCATCAGCTATTTAGGAAGGGATTGATCTTTTACTTGTTATCCCTATTCACTTGTGTGCATTGGATCACAGGTGCCTTGTATGATCCAGGCAAATGCTCTAATCGCTGTTTGCGATTAGATGTTTGCTGCCCCCTGCTAAATTTGCTCAGTTTTGAGAATACCTGCTTTATTTTTCTACTTCTTAAAGTATTTAAATTTTCTATCTCAGTATGTTCTCTACCTAAGTGATGAAACTCTTGTTTGCTTACACCCTTGTCAGAGGATGTAGAAATAGTTTGCTGAATGTGTAATTAAGTGAATTACAAGCCCTGATCCTGTGAGGTATTTAAGAAACTAACAAGTATCGTTGGATAGGGCCAGTAGCATCAGGTGTTCACGTAAGTACTTTGCTGGACGGGGGTTGCATGGTAATCATTAGAATCTGAGTTTTGTAAAGCAAATGTCACATTTCAATTCTTAACATTCTATTTATCAGCACTTAGAGGAGGATGTAGACTTGTATTGGTCACGGCTCCTTATTTGGAGAGTAAGAATCACTTGTGCTCGCAAACTAGATATGTAAATCCAATCAAAGTTATGTAGATGGAACGTTCAGTAGTTTGACAAATCTTTATATATGCATTTTACAATTTAAAAAGGGGGGAAAAAAGCAATGCTGATGTTTTTGTTACTGCTGTGTATTCTCATGTCTAATGATTACCCAGTGAATGCACAGGCTTTGCAGAATAATGCATCTACATGTTGGTGTATTTGCTGTTTTATTCATACTTTTTCCCTATAAAGTGTTTCGGTGGAAGCATTAGGTGGGGAGGGGGGGGGGTGTCTGTTTTGTACTGAAGTGAATTATTTAATTGATGCCTTGTAGCCATGATACCCGTCAGTTACAGTGCTTTTTGAAGTACAAAAATAAAAAAACAACCCACCCCTAAAAACCCCAGACCCATAAAAAAACCAAAACTCCAAGACCACAAAACAACCTTAAAATAAGGAGGAGGTTAACAGTCAGCAGAAAATAAAGGACTAAATATTTTGGAATAAGGTTGTGGCAAAATTTGTAAGACACTGTTTTGTTATTGGATACCCTGAATTTAGTACTCATTTTTCCTTTGTCTGTAATAGAGTTTTTCACAATGGACCTGCTGTGTGTTGATGTTTCCTTGTAGTATGACATTCTTGCATTTGCATTTTTTCATCTTCTTTAATTCTCTATTTGTTTTGTCTAAAGACCCTGTGTGGACAGTAATGACCGCACGTTTCCGATTGCCTGCTGGCAGAACCTACAATGTACGAGCATCTGAGCTGGCAAGAGACAGGCAGCATACGGAGGTGGTCTGCAACATTCTTCTCCTGGATAACACTGTACAAGCTTTCAGAGTTAATGTAAGTAATTTGCTTACTGCAGATTGGTATCGCTGAGCTTGTTGACCTTTGCTGGATTTGTATGGCTAGAGTTTGACTTTTAAAATACTGTTAAGTGAAGAATAGGAGGGGAAGTTGTGTTCAGACAGTCATGCTTGCACATATATATACTAAATCACTGTGAACTTAGTCATTCTGACATTCTCTATAATACTAACACAGTTTCATTTCAAAATTTATTATACAAAGAGTTATTTATTTCTAGCAATTCTCTTCATGGACTGAAATCATAGAGTGGAAGTGGAGGGCAGTTGTGCCACTGAGTTGAACAAGAAGCAAGCTTTTGTTTTGCTCCATTCCAGTTTTTGCATTTTGAGCATGAGTAAGGTGTAGTGGTAACTCTTCTCATGACTGTATAGCTAATTATGTTCAATTGTGTATGTGGTTATATTTGGTTATGACTGTCATCTTAAAGTATCTCTTTGCTTTTTGCTTTTCTCAGATTATATTCTTGTTCTATGATTTCCCTCATTTAAACTTACCATCTTCTAACTCAGTGTTGAGGATGGCAGAAAAAAGAACAGGAAGCTGGTTGGTGAATGCTGAGGACTGTTACTGGGAAGACTGAATAACTTACACATAAGAGCCTGGAATTTAGAACAGGTTATTAATAAGATTTTCTAATCTATAATCCTTGATAAGGATTTAAAATTAAAAAGTTCATAGTTTTGTGCAACCATTTCTTTTAAATTCTTGAGGAAAAATCCCTAGGAACAGCAGCCAAAGACCTCAGAAGGTAACATTAAAGCATTTAAAGTGGTGTTTGTGTGAGAAGAACCAGGACTCAGCACGAAAGAAGCTGTGGGGTGTCCTGGTTCAGGAGAACTCATCTTTTACTTTATAAGATACAGCATTGACGACTTACATGGAGAAAGGTTGAATGATGTGATGATGGAAATTACAGGTGGTGTGATTTTAGGTTTTTGAAGAGAAAATTGAACTTAATGGAGTGAAGCAGTAGTTAGGTATCCAATAAGGCCATGGAACTGTGTGAGAGAGTTGTGTTCGTATGGCTACAGCTTGACTTCCAAAATAGTGTTAAGTACAGAACAGGAGGGGAAGTTGTGTTGAGGCAGGCGTGCTTGCACACGTACATACTAGAAGAAAAAGAAGGGAAGAAAAAGAGAAGAGGCTCAAGGAAGACCTTATAGCAGCCTTACAGTAGGTAAAGGGTGGCCTACAAGAGAGCTAGAGAGGGTCTTTTTACAAGGGCATGTAGTGACAGGACAAGGCGGAATGGCTTAAAGATGACAGATGGGAGACTTAGATGAGATATTAGGGAAAAATTCTTCATTATGAGGGTGGTGAGACGCTGGAACAGGTTGCCCAAAGAAGCTGTGGCTGCCTATCTGTGGCAGTGTTCAAGGCCAGGTTGGACGGGGCTTTAAGCAACTTGGTTTAGTGAAAGGTGTCTCTGCCTATAGCAGGGGGGCTGGAACTATATGGTCTTTAAGGTCCCATCCAACACAAACCATTCTGTGGTTCTGTGAAAATGCAACAAGAGGAAGAGAGCTAAATCTCAGTTTTCAAGGCATATCTACTCTCTGGATGGCTAAAAATAGACCGTTTGTTAACGTGAAGCCTCATTTTCTTTCTGGGATAATTTCTCCTAAATCCCTTTTATCTTTTTCTCTGCAATAGTCTACTTCTCTTAACCTTCTCATCCTTGCTAACAGTTTCCCAGTCCGTACAGCCCGCCAAAAAGTAGTATGTGGAGAATATAGTTGGAGACAAAGCATTACAAGTGCATGAGAAATTGTAAATGCTGGGTACTTTGCTTTCAGGTGCATGAGTTTTCCATTAAAGTATCTATCTTGCGGGGGTTTATTTGTTTGTAAGAGTTGGCTAAAATAAAAAATAATTGTTGTACAATAGGTATGGGAGGTTATGCTTCTTTTTGATCTAGCTGTTCAAAAGCTGTATGTTAGAAAATGCTAGCCCCTGTGTAGAGTAGAACCACCAGTTATAAATCCTCAAATGTCTGTTCTCTGTCTCCCAAGAAAAAATTATATAATATGTTCTCACCACCTCCCTAGTGTACTAAATATTTTAGTTACATGGATCACGCTTTACTGCTTATACAGATCAGCCTGCAAGTTTGGCAATTAAAACTGAGTTTAGGGAATAAAAAGTTCCTTGGTGCTCAAGATTTTGATCTTGTGTCTTAGCCTTAATCTGTTTTTTTACAGAAATAGGGAATAATAAAGTATTCAGTTATAGCAGATGTATGCTAACCTACATGGTATATAGGTTTTCAGGTTTTATAGCTGTGTTTTACTTTATTGTGGTTGACACAGTACTTGGCAATAAATATTTATGGATTTGTTTTCAAAATACGAAGAACAAAGATAACACCAAATAAATTAGCAAGGTTTTTTCTCCTGGTGATTGCTATATAGGTATTCCGTATGCTAATGATTGTAAAGCTTAATCATCCAGAGTATGCAGTGCCATATTAATAAAAATGTACTCAAATGCTCTTTCTTCTCCAGCAGCAAAGTACTGATCACAGACAACGTCTCTTGATAATTTGTGACATGTTCTAAGTTCGCATTTCAACCAGCCCTTTCCATTGATCTGCAAAATAGGCATTCTCTTTGTGCTAAGACTTACATAGCATAGGGAATAACAAATCAAATCAAATAATCCCTGTGGACTGCAGGCAGGAAGAGGTTATTTTGGCTGCAGGCAGAAGAATCAGTTGGAACTACCTGTGCATATGTTTGAAGAGTAGAAATCCTCTCTGTAAAATGCTCTGCTTAGCAAATGAAGCATACTCTTACTTCAGCCCTGAAAAGCATATTCTGTAGAACGTGGAGCTGGAATCAATGAGACTGATTTGAGTTAATAATGTGATCAGGATGATTTGCATTACCATAAACCTGCTTCTTCAAGATCATATTGCTTTAATTGGTTTTAATTAATTGTTTCAATACCTCAAATTGTATCTTTTCTGTGCAGGCTGACTTAACTGTATTCCCCCAAAGCCAGTACATGATATGGAGATCACTAAATCTGTAAAAAACCCTCTACACCAACCCTCCTTTAATTTTAGAAGAGAAAAAATTCAATAATTCAATCTCCGTTATTACTTAGTTGCGTTTTGTTTTTTTTTTGGGGGGTGTTTTGGGGTTGGGTGTTTTTTTTTATTTTTTTTTTGAGGAAAACAAATAAAAGCCTGCTTGTACACTTTTATTTAAAATAGGATAACTTTCTGGAAAGCTAATGTAAGCTGTAGAATGAAAGGAGATGGTAGTGCAGCGCTGGCTTTTTGGGGATGTACTTGCTTGAGCTGCAACACAAATACTGTGTTGAGCTGTGAGAGGTTCCAGTGTTTCCACTAGCGAAGAAGCAAGCCTCCCGCAGACCTGTGAGCAACAGAGCTGTTTGACCTCCTTCAGAAAAGCTTGAGACCTGTCATCCCTGTCATCAGAAGTCCAGATTTGTTTGGACTCACGCAGCAGCAGTAGCTCCCAATGTTTGCTGTGGATGCGGCCAGTTCTGTAGGCCAGCAACAAAACTGAAATATTGTAAGATAAATAGGGAAGATGGTGGTAGTTGGTAAGCAGGCATTAAAGCTATATAACTAGAGATGTGTTCCTAAATTTTCAAACATGGGTAAGCAGCTAACAATCATTTTGCAATTAGAAATGAATGTGTATATATCCAGTGTACCAGATGTTAGCCAGTAGATGATAGATACTTCAAAAAGTGCAGTTGATATATTGATGTCTAGTGCTGATGTCAAATTTGTTTTGAAAGACCAAAATTTGTTAGACATTTTGCCTCCAGCAATGACTAATAAGAAGTACACATAGCATTCTAACATTCCAACTGTCGTGGTTTAAATTTAAGCCCAGCCAGTAACTCAGAACCGTGCAGCCACTCTCTCACTCTCTGCCTTCATCCCCATGCCATGCTCCTGGAGGGATGGGGAGGAGAATCAAAAGAATGTAAGTCCCATGGGTTGAGATAAGAGCAATCCAGTAAATAAGGTATAATACAAAAAAAAGTTGATGTTTTGTATCTAACTACTGCAATTTAATGTTAGATAGTTCCTGTTTTTCATCTATTTACCTGTTATTCCCTGTTTTAAGAGGAAATATTAATGTTTAACTTATCTGTAGAAATAAGGCAAGTTTCTTTTTATGTTTATCCACATTTATGGGTTTTACTTTTATGTATATATAAATATATAAAGGCAAAAATAGAAACTTGTTATCATACTTTCTATAATTTATAGCAGCTATTTAATAGTTATGATAGTATTACAAGTATTCTGGACCTTTCATGACAAGTAGGATTGTGACCTTCTGCTCTGGCAAGCTGTAACATCATTATATAAATATCAGAGATGGGTTAAACTGAGGTCTGGTTTTACGAGATGCTTATCTTTATTTTGCACTGAGAGTAAAACACTGTGATCAAAACAAATGCTTCATGTTGAAACTAGTCTTCTCTTACCTAATTTGCTGCTCTGTTACAGGAGAAATACCTTCTTTGCAGTCGTGAAATGACGTTCTGAATTACTAAATTCAAACCGGTCAACAAGTTCCAAATTGTTCGTTAGGAAGCATCTATTCAGATACTTAAGCAACAGTATAAATTCTCAGGTTTAGATTGGAAAAAAGCTACAGAATTGATATCTGCATGTTATTTGAAGAAGTAACATGTCAGCTGTAGTAAATGTAAGCCTAAGCTTGCGTTCCACATATCTCCCATTTTCTGACAGTTACCATCAGAAGTTCATTGAGTTCTGATTTATATCTAAATGAGGAAAATGCCAAGAAGCAATTAGTGTTGCTGTGTTATTTTAAAATTAGTTTTATTTGCTGGGAAATTTGTACTAATTACGGGTTTATTTCAAAATATATCAGAAATCTGTCATTTAGTAAAAATGAAAGTGAGTATTTTTGGATTGTATATTAAAATTGCCTTATGCATTTATACTGTTGTGTATTTACTATGTTAACATCTGTTTGGGTTTTTTTACCTTGTTTTTAGTTACTAGAAAATAAATCAGTAGTGAACTTTTTAACTGTGGTGCTCCTGCAGGCTGCTCATTTCATTAATCATCGAGAAATTTTCTCTCTATGTTTTTTTAATAGTAAATATAGCACTTCTTAGATCACTTTTAACTTAGCCAAATTTATAGAGGCCCTGAAATATATGCCTTATGTAATTTCCACTTAAAACGTGCAGAGCTCTGCTTATTATTGTCCTGCTGGAATAATTTCAAGCATAATTTCTTATATCTATTTTCTATTCCATTGTGAAATGAATTATCAAGCTTCTTGGAGTTTTTAGCCTTTTTAGCTTTCATAGTTTACTCAACCTCAGTGTAATTTCAGCTAAACAGGAAGATGAGTTTTGTTAGGATGCTCTTAGATGTTAACAAACAACTAAAGTGATTTCTAGATTTTTCTCATATATGGATACCAATGAAATTCTTGCAACCTTCCTTTGACCTTTTAGTTACATACTTCTGTTTTAACAGCTATGAAAGTAAACTGTTGTATAATCTCTTTGAGAAGTGAAGTTCTGCTCTGTTTGGGAGCAGAACAGCAGGGTTTTTTTTTGTTTAAAAACCTTAAAAATATCTTAATACCCCTAGCCAAGTTTAATTCCAACTGGGCCTTAGCTTTCCTAACCTGGTCCCTAGCTTCCCGGACAACATCCCTGTACTCTTCCCATGCCACCTGTCCTTGCTTCCACTTATTATAAGCCTCTTTTTTCATTTGAATTTTCCTCAGGAGCTCCTTATCCATCCAAGGAGGTCTCCTGGCCCTCCTGCTGCACTTCCTTCTAGTTGGGATGCAACACTCCTGAGCTTGTAGCAGGTGATCCTTGAATATCAACCAACAGTCTTGGGTCCCCCTGCCCTCTAGGGCTATATCCCATGGAACCTTCTGAAGCAGGTTCCTGAAGAGGCCAAAGTCTGCTCTTTTGAAGTCCAGGGCCGTGAGCTTGCTGCACGCTCTTCTCACTGTCCTGAGGATCTCAAATTTGACTATCTCTCAGTTAGATATTTGGCTGCTTCACCTGTCTATACCATTTAACTTTGGAAACATTTTGTTCATTTAGATTCAGGAATAGATTTTTAGGTGAAATAGGTAAGACTAACTTGTACAAACCTGTACTTTCAAATTCAGTGACCCAAAAAAGCCTGCGAAGTTCTTTGTCACATTCTAGCCTTTTTATTTTCTGAGGCTTTTTTTTTTTTCTCTTCAGTACTCTTTTTAAATATCAGAAGATTTGGCTACTGAATGGCTTTCAGGAATAATCATGTAGCTAGCTGAGAAGTGAGAAATTCTTACTGTCAGAAAATGGCAAAGAGGAAAAATAATAATTCCTTACATATGCTTCAGAAAGTGAGATGAAGCTCATTTAAAAATATCCTGGGGTATGCTTTGTGATATTTAATATATAGGCTGCTAGAGCACATCTGAAAGAATGTTTATGTGTTCTGCTTGCCTGAAGTCTTTGTGTCCAATTATATATTTGTTAATTAAAATATACGTGTATTTTTTCTCTGCAGAAACATGATCAGGGACAAGTTCTGTTGGATGTAGTCTTCAAGCATCTCGATTTGACAGAGAGAGATTACTTTGGTTTACAGTTGGCTGATGAATCTACTGATAACCCTGTAAGTTGACTGTTTTATAAATACATTTTTATAAATCATAATTACATTCTGTGCTCTGTGTCATTGTAAAGAGAATTAGAGTCCATGGGTTTAAAGCCATGGGTGCCATCTTTTCCAACTGTGTTATTTGAGTTGGTCAGTATCACCTTGTAGCTGTGATAAAACTAAATGTGAATAGTTACAAATTTGCACGTTTGGAGTAAAATGTTGAGATCTGTGCTTATGAAATGTTGCATTAAAAGGATATTGCTTGTTTTATTGTACCTGTTTACTAAACTGCATAATCATTCTCTGTTGGCATAAGAAATAGTAACTTTTTTTTTTTAAATTATATGGGGAGTTTATATTGATCTGTATGGTGTTTTTCTTTCTAGCCCAGATACCGTGTAGCTCTTTCAGTAGTGTTGCATATAGTCCACTGTGACAAAGCCTGTCATCTCATCAATTTAACAGAAAAAGGGACTCCTTTGAAACTGAGTATTTATGATAATTGATGTGCTTCAATTGAAAGGAAATTTCATAGGACTGAAACTTTGTAAATCACCAGTAGAAATTAACAGATCTAGCTGTAATGTTCATTGCAATAGTTATAGCTGTAGGGCTGAGATCATGATTGCTTGAAGAATACTTCCCAAGCAGGAAGTAGGAAGTTCTTTTGTAGATGTCAAATGATCAATACTTGTTATAAAGTGCAATTTAACTAAGTATTATTCTTTGTAATACAGTTCCTTATCAATTCCTATTATGTGTGTTTGTCAGTGATGGGTTCTAAATTTATCTCCCAACTTGTATGTCAGAAGTCATTTTTGTTCACAAATGGTGCAGAATGTGATCTGTAGAGATAAGTGACACTGTGTTAATCATTCAGTAACTAAGGTGAATTTCAGAAAATAGTTCAACTTTCTTTAGTAAGAGCAGATTTCATCTACTGTTGTTTTACCATCAAGAGAGACTGTTCTAAATAGAAGGAATAGTGTTGTTTTTTTTTTATCTTACTAAAAGGTTGGGATTTTTCTTTTACCTATTTTTAATGCCTTTTTTTAATGTAGCATAGGAATCAAGAAATCATAATACTGCCATGGTTTTTCTGCCAAAATAGTGAACTACTTGCCCATTTCTTTCTTCTCTAGAGCAAATTATTCATAATTATATTATCTTTCTACATTCTGGTAACATTATTAAAATGAGCAGAGACATATAGCATAGTGGTAGATACTTTACAAAGTTTCCTGCTGTAATTTTGTGGCTAGATCTGTTAAGACATTGGCAGACAGGCCTCATTTCATCTTTGTATTCTAAACTTTGTTTCCAGGCTGAAAAGACATAGGCATGCTCTAGAAAAGGCTGAATTATTTTTCAGCTTTGCTTAAGAAGTATGTAACATGACTGCTACTGCTGAACCCAGGACAGAGTATCACTCTATTTCACTCAACATTGAGAAGTTTGTAGTGTTTTTATCTGAGTTTTCAAAGCTTAGATGTCTAAGCTCTGATTTTTTTTTTTTGTTTATCTATCTGGAAGCAGCTGAACACAACACTGTAATAGAAGGCTCTGGGAAATAGTTAGTCCAAAAGAAGAATGACTTCAGAGCTCTTGATATAAGAACATGCTTTAAAGGTTTAGTATTCTTTAACTAATAAATATTTTGGCTTTTTAGCACATATCTAGTTGACGTGAAAACAATGTGTCGGAGAAATAGAAATATTATGAATATTAGTATGAATATTAGTCATGAAGTATTTATGGGTTTGACTAATTCCTTTTTTTTTCATTAATATCTGTTTACACTCAGTTCATTTGGACAAAGAAACCAGATTAGATTGACAAATATTCTAGTTAATTCTGAAATAACACAGCAGAATATTGCCAAGATGCAGCCAATATGTCAGCCGATAAAGGTGATGGGGGAAAGAGGATTCTGCTAATTGAGTGTGAAACCTCTGTCATTGTGCCTAAACATGGATGTCATAAACTGCACAAGCTTTTTTTTTTTTTTTTTTTTTTTGTATAATATTAATATCACAGTAAAAGTCAGTGCAACAAAGCTGTGTACAGGAGGAGTAGAATATTTGGCTAGGGTCTTGGCCGCTGGGTGCCTGGAGCAATGCCAAGAAGGAGGTACTGGTATATAGTTGGAATAGGGGTGCAGTGGGATTGAGTGAGTAGGAGCCAATAACACCAAGCTGTGTGGTGTGGTCAACATTCTGGATGGAAATGATGCCATCCAGAGGGACTTTGACAGGCATATGATTCTATCTTTACAACCAGAAACAAATGTAAATACAAGCTTTTCTGCTAGGCATTTCAGTTTCAGGTTTTACGGATTAACTGTAATCTCCAACAGTACTTCTCACAAAAAAGAAAAATATAAATCCAAGGATTATCAGTCGTATCTGTGCATTTATCAGATATATTGGGTCATGACCCCTTGCTTAAAGATACTCAAGTATCATTCACTATGGTTTGAAAGATTCTTATATAATATTCATGTGTATTGCTGGTGGGAGGGTCCTTTATTAAGCCTTTACATGCAGTCTTACAAGTTAATTGATCCTGTTTGAGATCTTCTCTTTGACATAATCACACTCTTTAAGATGTATCAAACGGCCTCTTCGGTCTCTCTTAAGACATTCTCTACAAGGATAATGCATTTAGATCTAGTCATCATTACTTGTTGTTCCTAATGTGTAGAATGTCTCATAATTAACTTCAGACCTATAGTGTCTGTCAGATAGCTCAGGTATCTCTGTGTGTTTGCTTCCTCCTCCCCCTCACATGAAAAAAAAATCAAAAAAAGCCCTGTGATAAAGGTGAGGTAGTTACATGCCATACAGGATTAGGTCTCTGTCACTTCATAGGAACTGTGGCCGTATAACTGTTTCCAGAGGCCTGTGAGCTTGCATTGCAAGGATGAGGAATTGAACAGTATTTATAGCAGAGACACTTCTGAGTTGTTCCAGGGGAGGTTTAGATTGGATATTAGGACAAATTTCTTCACCAAAACAGTTGTCAAGTATTGGAACAGGCTGCCCAGGGAGTGGTGGTGTCACCATCCCTGGACATAGTTAAAAGATGTGTAGGTGAGGTCCATAGAGACATGGTTTTGTGGTGGACATGGCAGTGCTGGGTTAATGGTTGGACTTGATGATCCTAAAGGTCTTTTCCAGCCTAGCTGATTCTATGAGTTAACTGAGCTACGTTGGTATATGCAGAGTCTGCTGGGTTGATGGTGGGGAGTAGTTTAAACAACATGTAGGGCTTTCCAGAGAATCATACTTCTAGATGAAATTTGCAGCATTGATTTTTCTGAGGATTTGTCTGTACTTTCCTACAGCAGTGTTCTCCCATAAAGATGGTCAAGATTGGGTACTGTTTCATAAAATTGCTGTGTAGTCCTTTCATCCAGTAGGCTGAATGCTGAGCCTCTGGTTTCCAAGATCCCAATTAGCAACTTAGCTAATTCACTTCCTATATATTTCAGACGTGCAAAATGCAGAGTCAAAAGTACTGGAACTAGTTTAAGCAAATTAACTTGAGTTGGGTAAGTTAGCCTGCCTCTAGTTCTTCCCTGCTACAGTTTGTTCACCTTAGATAATAATTTTAAAGAGTAGTGAAGATTGTTAATGACACCATGATTGTGCTCTAACCTCTCACAGGCTCATGTGATAATCGGAGAACCAAGTCATAGTTGAATTAGACCTACAAGAGACAGATTCCTGGACAACAGAGGTTAATATCAGGGAAGGAAGAACAATAGCAGCTGTTGATGATAATGTTGGTGTCTTTCAAGGATCAGTAATAAGACTTTGTATGTCAGTAAGACGTTTTGGTAAAACACAGAGTAAAAAGTAATAGAAAAGCATTAGTTTATTGATACTTAAGGCTATAATGTGTACTTCTTTTGTTTCTCTAAAGTTGATGTTGTAATTTGTCTCTTTCCAGAGGTGGCTGGATCCAAACAAACCTATCAGGAAACAATTAAAAAGTGAGTACATGTATGTATTTGGTCAATTCATATACCATTGTTATGCTGGTTTTCCAGGGTACCCTGATTAATTAGAAATAACTTTGCTTGATTGCAGGAGGATCTCCTCATAGTTTGAACTTCAGAGTTAAGTTTTTTGTAAGTGACCCAAACAAGCTCCAAGAAGAATATACAAGGTAGGTCTAGTTAATTTAACAGTAAAACATTTTCCTAGAAGGTTTATATTTAAGGGGAAAATTATCAGTAATTTTTTAAGGTATAACATAGAAATTTTGTTTTAAATCATTTTTGTGTCATATTTGCAAGCTTCTAATTTTTGCCTAATAATTACAGATATGAACTATGCAGTTGCATCAAATCAATATAACAAAAAGCTTCTGTGAATAAATTTACAAATTTATATGCAAAGTGAAGTAACCACGTGAAGAAAATACTACTAAGTAGAAACAGAAAAGGGAAAATAGAGAAGAGAGGAAAAACTTAATCCCACTATTCACCAATGAGTACAAATTTAATTTTATCCTTCCTTGTGTTCTCCTCTGTGACTAAAAAAAATCCTGAGCTTTCTGCTTTTCTTTCTTGCCCCCCCCTCCCCAGTTTTCTGCTTTACACTAATAAAATTAATCTCTGTTTGCATGTAGTTCTAGCTTGAAGCATGTAAGCTTATTTTGATACCACTGTGTTGAAGTATGTTGACGAAGATTCTCATTGTGAATCAAGATAGGAAGCTTGTGAGTTGCAATTAGTCCCTGAAGAGCTGCCTCAAATTTTCTGAATTCTTAATTAGTTCTCGTCTTCTACATAAGTGGCGTGATTTGGCAGATTGGAATTTTTGGATGTCAGCCATTCTGAAAACAGGTCACCACTGTTCAAAAAACAGTATTTAAATTATTAAGGATAGCTTTAGAAATGTAAGTACCAAAACTGTGAAAATTTGAGTCCACGTTTGTTTATAATTTCTTTCAATTTGTCATATTTTGGACAAAATTTTACACACATACATGCAGACAGAATTTACTAAAATGAATCACAGAGATCCTAGATCAGGCTTTGTTTTGTTGAAATACTTGCTTTAGAAAAAATAGGCAATTTAGAACATCAAAATAATGTATCAGAATAGTAGTGTTACTTGAATTGATGGGCGGTATGTAGTATTTCTAAGGAGATGGAGGAAACAGTAAAAGTTGACCAATATGAAGTAAACACTAGAGAAGAGAGAGAACTGTTTATTTTAAATGGTATTCTGCAAATGCAAAGTTATAAATAAAGCATCCTTTTAGATGAGAAATAATCTATGGTTGCTGTATCTAGGTCAGCTCTGCTTTTTTTGCTAATACGCATAATTGCCCATGAGAAAACTTGTTTGTATTTGGAATTGTTATAAAGAGAGAGGAGTTATCTATGGGTTTTTTTTTTGAGTGAAGTTAGAATGCCATATCACAAATAGGTATATTAGTGTAATAGATATTTCCCCCTTAAGAAAAGAAAAGAAACAAAGCACAAACTTCAGGGAATTCCAGCTTAAGCTGAAACCTCTCAGAGATGCTCATTTTTTATAAATTTCATGAAAACAAAGGAATGAATTGACATATGAGACAGTATAAATAGATGTGAGGGAAAGGTTCATTGCAAGCTCTTGTCTCACTAGATCTCTGTGAATTCATGTGAGGGAGGGAGATTATAAAGGCCCCAGCTCAGGAAAGGTCAGCAGGAGCTCACCGTGTGTTGGAGTTTAGCTTGAGGAACGTTTCTTGGAAGGAAATAAAGCTTCATTAGTTCCGCTCATGGCAGAAGAACTTGATTATTAACATTGACTCCAGCTAGCAATAATTGTCGTACCCTTTTCTAGATATATCTGTATAAGGAAGATAAAAACGCTGTAATGCAGTGCCACCTTTATTGTTTTAGCTGAGTTTGTTGTGCAGGCTGTTTCAGAGCTACATTGCTAAATTGCTATTCTATAGATTTCTTTCACATATTACTCAATAGTATGTGAGGCTTCCATGTTCAAACTGGGGCAATTAGCTAACGAGCTGAAAACAGAAAATGGACTCTGCTTGGTGCTCCTTAATCATGAGGTCCTTTAAAAACCATGGAATAGTTCTAATAAAGCATACACCAAGAAAAAGGAAAGTAAAATGGAGGTGCAGCTACACATACAGAATGCTTTCTGACCTAATTTTGCAGCCATAAATGTTAACAGGAAAAATAGGAAAAATTTTACTTGTTCAGTGTATTTGTGAAGAGATGCTGAAGCTAAGCATGTGAGGCATATCCTTTTAATATATAGAATCATAGAAGGTTAGGGTTGGAACAGACCTTAAGAACATCTAGTTCCTATCCCCCTGCCATGGGTAGGGATGCCTGACACTAGACCATGTTGCCCAAGGCTCTGTCCCACCTGGCCTTAAACACTGCCAGGGATGGAGCATTTACCACTTCTTTGGTCAACCTGTTCCAGTGCCTCACCACCCTCCCAGTAAAGAACCTCCTTATATATCCAACCTGAACTTCCCCTGACGTGTCATTTATTGCTTTTTAAACAGTTAAAGAAATTTTCCTTTATCTGTCTCTCTTTTGGTTTCAATATGCATTTTTAGGTGGAAAATAAGAAAATATTTTGAGGTCTCTAAAGCCTGGCTGATCTCTCATTTTAACTTCTTGAAGTTAAGCTTCAACTAAGCTTCTTGCCATTCTGATTAGTTAAAGAACCTCTAGATGGTTTTGTATGAGTTGAGCACATGGGCTAACATCTTTGCTTGTCAGTCTGCAAGCGTCTTCCCTCATTTTCTTGCAAACATGGAGTGTTTACCTTTCCACTATATTTAGCTTGTAAATGATTGTATTTTTGTGTGTGTGTTTGTAAACATTTGTGGAAGTCTTTGAAGTAGGAATTAATCCACTTTCTGAAGACTATAAAGCTATGACAAGTCATGTTATGTGTAATAAAGTGATATATTTTGGTTTTAATGTCTTAGTGCAAGTCAGTATTGGGAAATATTTAATGTTTGGTTTCCATCAAACTTGAACTGTTTTTTATACGTAATTTTGATGAGTGTTTATAAGGAGTGGGTATGGCTGACCCTGATTTTGAATCAGAACTACAAGAAGGAAACCAGGTGATGACGATAATAACGATGATGAGGCAGGAGGTCCCAAACAGCACAAATTTGTAAGAAAGCAGGAATTATTAAATTTTCCATTCAGTGCAACTTTTAAATAAAAAGGCATTGGGGCCTAAATTCTCCAGCTGCTTTTATGCTCTATTATAAGGGGGTTTGTTGAAAGTTCAAGTTTGTGCTAACATCCTGCCATCTCAGTAAGTCTTGTCTGTTACCCCACTTAAATCTTTGTCGGTGGAGGTTTATGGCCGGTGTGATTTGCCACTTGATGTGAACATTTATACTTCTTTCAAATGGTCTAAAACCTTTGAGTGAAATATGAAGGAACAAGATTGAACGAAAAAGAGATTCATTCTGAGACGTGAACAAAATATCTGGGTTTTGTTGGAGAAACAAAGGAAGTAATTTAGAGGGAAATCTTTGCGGTTTAAGGTTTGTTGGGGGTTTTTAAGTCATAGTGTTTCTGCTGCTGCTGTTTGGTGATTAATAGTTCTTGTTTTAAAGTGTTCATCAATTCCTTTTGCTGATTTGAACAAGTAGACATGGGAAGACTTTATAAATTTCTAAAACAAGCCTTTCTCACATCATAATTAAAGAAAAATTAAGAAGTTTAGGGAAGTCAGTTGGAAGTCATTTCACATAATAGAATCCAACTTGTTTAAGAATGTAGCTCCAGAATACAAAGAGTAATTACTTTAATTTAAATGGAACCAGGGTAGTATCATACAGTTAATGAGATTAAATTAATTTTATCTGCCTGGAGTACAAATCCTTTTTATCAAAGTACCCCCATACACAGATGCAGACTTCAGCTTTTGAATGTCATATTGCCATTCATCATGAAGGCACTTCTTTTTCTTTGCTTTTTATTTTTTATGTTTAAGTTCAGCCTAAATACTTGAAAATATATCAGGTAGAATGTGGCATTTGCAGCCATTTAGTGAAATATAATGTAACTTCATAGCCTGTAAATAGTTTAATTTACAAAGCTATATTATTATTTTACTAATCAAGTTTAATTTCTTTCACATAGGAGTTTAAGAAATAGCATGCAAAATGTGAAGTTTTAGTTTTGCACTAACTGAAAGCAAAATGCATTTAATTGATGAAAAATGATTAAGTAATTGTAATTTTACTTACTGTGGTTTTTGTTTATTTCTTTACATAAGGTACCAGTATTTTTTGCAAATTAAACAGGACATTCTTACTGGAAGGTAAGACATTTTTGTTGTGTTAAATGTTAAATGGAACTTGAAAAAAATTAAAAGCTAATGGTGAGGGATTTTACCTTAAAAAAAAAAAAAATTAAAACAAATTATTGTTTATGCAATGAGGAATATGTATAATAATTATCTATCTAGTTTATTCATAGACTGAAAGGTGAGGCTTTCTCAAATAATTGAATTCCGTACAAAATAGGTAATTTTAATTTTTTTGTTAATTTAAAAACAAAACAGATTGCCGTGTCCTTACAATACTGCTGCTCTTCTCGCTTCCTATGCTGTTCAGTGTAAGTATCATAAGTATTCATGTGCATGTTAATACTAAAATACATAAAAAGTAGTATTAATTGGTTTCTAAAGACTGTAGTTTGTATGGCATTATATTGTGATGTTTGTGGACATGATGCTACTTTCTCATGATTAAGGTAATATGGTTGGTTGTTTTTTATCTCCAGCATGTTTTGCTGAATTAGAAATGGAAAAAATATTGGTAGCACTCTGCTTGCTTTCTTTAAACCCATGCTGTTAAAAAGTCCCAAAATAGCCCTCTTGTATTTCTGTGTTTTCTGAAGGAGGAGGGGAGTTCTTGAGAATGATGCTAAAGTGCTTTTTTAGACTCATAAACATTTTTAACATACCATACAGTGAATCTCCAAATAAGTGTGAAAAGAAAATTCTGGACATACATGGCCCAGAAGTCCAATACCCGTTTGGTCAATTTTTAGCCATTCAGTGAGTAGATCTGTGTTGAAGACCAAGATTTAGTCTTCTTCCTCCCTTTTCATTTTCCTTTATAAACTTAAATTGTTCAGTGGGTAAAAAGAAAACACAACACATAACAACCAACTAAGAGACTGTTCAGCACTTAGTTCCTGTAATTTGTGGTTGTCAGAAATTCAGTTTTACAAGCAATGCTGATATATCTATCTTTATTCATGTGTTTTTCTGCTATTAAAGATACTTATATGTACATTTAGTATGATGTAGACTTTGTACGTAGCAGAGAAGTAGCATCCATGTTAATCTTTTCAGGGAAAAAACGTATAGTAATGTTAATGTAATGTTTTATGTGCAGTTTTGATAGGTGGTCACCTTTTTCCAGATCAATAAGTAGAGCAATTTCTCTTAAACAAAGCTCCCATACTCCAGCTACTGGGAAATAGATACGTACTGCAAGTGCTGTCATGGCCTTTAGTGACATGGTTTAATGATGGACTTGGTGGTTATGGGGGAGCGATTGGACTTGATGATCTTAAAGGCCATACCAGCCTACCTGGTTATATGGTTCTATGATTCTGTAGTGGAGCAGTGAAAAGTTTATAACATTTTTAGCTTTGAACAATGCAATATATTTGGTTTTATAATATTGTAGAAGTGGTGGGTATGTGCAGTTTATTGTAGTTACTTTTATATGAGAGACTCTGCTGCTCTTAAATTTTACAATGTGCAGACCTCTGTCTAATGATTTTCTGTGCTGCCTGTTACTAAACTGTGTTTAGCTCTCAGGATTCTCTATATAGGTAGATATATAGGTAAATATATATAGGATATATATAATATAGGATTTTATATATAGGTAAATGGAAAATGTGTATCTCAGTCCCATAATCTCTCTAGTAGATTTTAGCAAGGCAGGCACTCTGTTATGAAACCCAGCCCAATTTTCCAGTTTTAAAACTATTTAAAATAGGATCTGTTTCTATTGATGAACTATTCCTGCTTTTCCTTTACTCCCACTCTGAGTGCCTTTATTCCTCTTGTCAGTTCTTCCATGCTCCGTGAAAGTGTCCGTAGTCCTGCCTAGAACCCCACATCATGCTGTGTTGCTGTGAACTTTCCAGTTTTCACATGTTGTGTTACTTATCTGTCACTGTAGATCTGTTACATAGATTGCAGATACTTAAAGCTGAATTTCTTTCATTGTAGGTAGAAAGCCTCAAAACCTGTATTTTTAGCAAATGTTGTTTGTATGTGTTTTTCTGACAACAAATGTGATTTTTAGTTCGGCTTAAAATTTGAAGAAAGTGTAAGAAATTATGTATACGCACTTTTTAGTAGTTTCAAGTAAAGTTTTCAAGTAAAGTAGTTTCAATGTGGGTGTATGTATGTGTACTTTTTTCCATACATATTATTGAATGTGCAAAAAATAGTTTACAAATGCTTCTAAATATATCTTGGTACAAAATGAGTTGGTGGGTTTTGCAGGTCCTAATGAAGATATAGCAATTGTGATGTTAACAATATATATATTATGTAATTACATGAAAGCAAACAAAGGTGAAAAAAAAAAAGAAAAAATACCTTCAGATATATATTTAGTGCTAGCCATTATGACAGCATTTATGAATTTGTGTATTAAAAATTAAACACTTTATAAACTTCCTTCATAAGTAACTACTCAAAGCTCTCTTTAAATATCATGAGAATGTGAGTGTATATTCAAAGGGGAAGAAAGGAGTACAAATGTCTTCTCTATTTTTGTTTGCTGTAGATCATAAAGTATGCGTGAGCAGACTCTTGTGAATTTTGGGGGCATTGCACCGTGCCAAGTACATCAGTGATAAACAATAATCTCTCTTTTTAATATTTTAGCTGAGCTGGGAGACTACAACCATTCAGAAAACTTTCCAGGCTACCTCTCAGACTATTCTTTCATCCCTAGCCAGCCTCAAGACTTTGAAAAAGAAATAGCAAAATTACATCAGCAGCACATGTAAGGATTAACAGCAGAAGTTATTGACTGACTTTGTCAAATCCTGACTGCTGGTGCTGTTCTGTTACAAAAAGAAAATGAGTGTTTTGTCTTAAAGGTTTCTGGGTTTTTTTTCTTGCTTGGTATATTTTCTTCTTAAGAGTATGTTTAATGTGGAGTTTTCTTATAGATAGTCTGTATAATGGTACCATTAATACTCTGCACAGATAGAATATCTATGACAGAATGACAGGGAAAATAAATGAAAAAATCAACATGTTAAAGGTACTAAAACCAGTATGTGTATGACACAGGATATTGCATTAGTAGGATATAATTTCTTTGAGGTTTTGTTTGGTTTTGTTTATTTTTCCACAGTGTTTGAGAATGCCTTGTGCATAAAGGCTCAGTTTTCATGGTGCTCTCACCAGTAAGCAAGAGTTACTTTAGAAGTAACAAAGTCCTTTTCTTCAATATCTGCTCTTTCCTGCATGCAAGTTTGTGACCTTTTACTAAAGAGGAAAAGGCAGTGAAGTAATGGAAAATATATTTATTTATTTATTTATTTATTTTTTAGTGTGTAACATTGTGGTACTTTTTCAGTGATAGTTGCTTGGTATTTCAGAACTTAAGTGCCTTTTGTTATAGTTAAGTTTAACAAAAGGTAAGCTATGTTTACAAAAACATTCACTTAACTGAGGCATAATTTTGGTTTTAGAAACTACTGAATATTATATTACCTTTAAGTCAATGGCTTAGCAAATTCTGTTTAGTGGGATAAAGAAATTTAAAGTGACTTGCTGGTAAATTGAACTTTAAGGGTGAATTTTGGGTAGGAACTGTTGATACCAATACAAAATACAGGACCGCAAAAGCGATTTCCAGATTCTAGAGCTCCACAGGTATTTAAATGGTACAGTGCATTAGAATCAAAACGTGTGCACAGCACAGCGCAACGAGCTGTGTTGTGGACTATAGTCAGCACTTTGTCTACGCAAAGTTGGTTTTTTTTTCTGTTAAAAAGGCTTTTAACCTGAGCAGAACGTTTTTTGTTTTTTTTTTTCTGTTAAAATTTTTGGGTTACAGTCTATATATGTCGAGAAAGGAAATTCAAATATCAGGGTTGGGATAAAAGTCATAAAATACATGCAGATTTTGAGCTCACTCGGGTGCCTGATGTGGGGGATGTGTTATAATGTTTCTGATTTAGCTTCTGTCTTTCAGAGGATTGTCTCCTGCAGAAGCAGAGTTCAGTTATCTCAATACAGCACGTACCTTAGAACTTTATGGAGTTGAATTGCACTATGCTAGGGTAAGTTTAGATGAACTAGTATTGAAATGTAAAAATGGATTCCTCTGAGATTTATGGGAAAATAAATGCTTATTTTTAGTAAGTTTTCCTGGCTGCTGCTTACAAGAGAAAAAAAAGGAAAATAATATCTTATTAGGTAACTAACTGTGATTTACTTATTTTGGTAGCTGCTGCTTCCCTCTAGTGAAGGTATTTCTTTGCTTAAATCTGGGCTTAGTAATATACATGTTGTTATCGTTGAGCCTTTTTGACCTGAATGCCAGTTCAGTTGGCTACAGGTGAATAAGGAATATGTACTTGTTGAATGTGCTTTTGGTATTTACAGTTCTGTCAGCTTTGAAAAATATTTAATCTGGTTCCTATTAGAACCAAATTATAAATCATTGGTTTTATGTAATATGAACTGTTAATATAAAGTGAGGTGCTATAATTTCATATAATATCAGTTATATCTGGTAAAGCAAGGCGCTCAAGGTCTTGACTCAAACAAGCTTAACCTGTCAGTACAGTGCTATTTCTGCAGAGCTTCTAAATATATTTGATTTTTAGTAGCTAAGACACCTTTTTTTTTTTTTTTTTTAAATATTCTTGTCCTACTCCATAAGGTTAAAGAAACAGGTAATAGAATTTGAAATTAATTATTTCAAATAGGATCTGTTTCTGTCGGTGAACTACCTGGACTTCTTTCCTGCCTTCCCTTTCCTTGATTATCCTCCCACTCCATGGGTGCCTTCATTCCTCTTGTCCATTCTTCCATGCTCCATGAAAGTGTCAGTAGGCCTGTCCAGGACCCCACATCATGCTGTGTTGCTGTGAACTTTCCAGTTTTCACATGCTGTGTTACTTATCTAGCACTGTAGATCTGTTACATGGATTGCAGTTATTTAAAGGTGATTTTTTTATTATAGTTATAATCACACTTCTGTCTATATCCTACTAATATCGTGCACATACAAAGAAATCTATAGCAGGTGTTTGATTAGAGTACAAAGATATTTCAGGAAAAATGTGCTATTTAAATATGCTTATAATATTGTTTGTTTTAGAATCTCTCCTCTCTCTGTTCTGAGATTGCAATTTCATTTCAGGTAGGAATTTAAGTTGCTGGTTGCTTTTAGTGTAGCAAATCTCAAGCCAGTCTCTTAGTACTTTTGTTTGTAATGAACTGTTAGGATACTCTATATTATGTATTTATTCAAAGTTGGTGGGAGACAGAAGATCTAACTTAAGAAATTAAAATTCTGTGGTAGTGTATGAAGAACTCGGAGCAAGCATTCGGCCTTGTCCTAAATAGTAATGAATAGTTCTTTCTTGTCTTATTAAAACATATTTCCTTCCATGTTAACTGTGATCTGTTGTACTATGGTAATTACGTATTTAGAGAGAGAGATGAGTATGAATGTATATGAGGTTTCAAACATTTATATTGTTCTTCAAGTAATTTTCTCTTTTCTTTTAAAGGATCAGAGTAACAATGAAATAATGATTGGAGTGATGTCAGGTGGAATACTAATTTTTAAGAACAGAGTACGAATTAACACTTTTCAGTGGTAAGGACAGCTGTTCAAGCTAATATTTTTTGTTTAGTGTTTCTCAAGATATATTTTAACCATTGTCAGTATCACATGCTTTACAAAAAGAGTGAAACTTCATTGTAGTGTATCAAGTTGAAATGATTTAACTTTCGCTGTGTGATGGGTAATTTTATGATGGGGTTTTTGTCTTGTTCTGCATGCTGTTAAATGTTTGTGGTGCAAACTGTAATGAATTTTAAAGCAGTTTTTCTTCAGAAGTTTGCAAGCATACTTTGTTTAATTTACTGTATAACCAGGGCCAGTGTTATGGTCTAGCCCATAGTCTTTAAAGAGACAACTGATCTTAAAAATGCTAGCCTGGAGAGTGATTACTCTTACCTGTTTTGTCACATATCACTTGATTGCACTGTGTGTGTAAATTTTAATATAGGTATGGTACTTGAGGATAACCGAGGTAGAGCATTCAGAACATTGTCATCTCTTCATCCCCAGATAACCATTTTCATGATAAGGATCAAAAAAGTGTGTTTATTCCAGTGTTGTAATTTATTTCTCTTGTAACTAAAATAATTTTTAAAACTGTTCTATAAACACAGGGGTTATCCTCATTAAATATATTACTCTAATTATTAGTCTTTTTAAGTTGGGAGCCTGTTCTTATTTATACACATAAGGGAAAAGATCTAAAAGAAATTCTGTTCTGCACTGTAAGTTCCGTAGTACTCAACAGAAGTTGTGTTACCTTCTCCAATGCTTTTTTTGAGTTCCCTCAGAAGTAGCCTTCCCTTGGTTTCATTTGTCTGCCTTGGAATCTACTTTGACAGCCGTACTTATTACATATGTTGTAGAGTATGCTATAACAGCATTCTCAGTGGACAAAGTCAGCCATATGAAATTATCAAAATAGACATTAGTTCATGAGGCACAAAAGCTGTTCACTCTAGAAAAATAATGAAACATTTTACGTTTTCATTTGCTACTGGCGTGTGTGGTTGGACATTGCAGCCCTGGACTTTAGAATTCTAAGGTTCTTGGCTGGACTGTAATCTTTGTATAAACAGATTAAATTGATTACCACAATTGAAACTTTTCTCTGAGTTCAAAATGATATGGGCAGTTGAAATCCTTGGGTTTTGCTTATTTTCTGTTAACACATGGTAAGATCTATTACCTATAGTTAGTGACCTGTTTTCACTTAGTAAGTTCCCTTGCAGAGATGCAAGATATTAGTCACAGTCTTGATCTTTCCTGCAACCCAAGGAATTTTTGCAACATTCTGGTTTTCTATGCTAAGCTCAGTTTCGAGTGTTGTAGGATATTATGCATTTTGTGGTTTACCATGTTGGCAGTGTGAATGGTCAACTTTCAGTAGATTTTTTGAGAGAAATTTAAAAAAAGCTACGGCATAGCGTGCTATCCACAGACAGATACAACTGAACATGATAAGCATTTGCCTGTAAGCATTCAAGGGAAAGTAAGCCTGAGACAATTATGGAGCATGTAAGTTTTCAGTGTCCATGGTTACTTGGATAAATTAAAAATAGATCTTGCAATGGGAAGTTTGAAGCTACTGTACTACTCAGTCAGACCTGCCTTTGTATTAGTGACACATAGTAAGAAAGATACCTTTCATTTGGTAAGAGCTCTGAAGTGTTAGAGCCGTTTCTGGGTTAAGGCTGCTTTATAAATGCAATACTGTAATAATCAGGAAGGTTTTAATTCAGACTGCTTTTACTGCTGTTATTTTTGGGAAAACATTAGTAGAAATCTGTTCTATAAAACACACCAGTAAATTACTGAGTGCGTACAATATAAGTCATAATTAAGCTACATGCCTCTACTGGAAGCTGGAGGTTTCTGTGAGCTCTGCTTCATATTGTTTGTATGCCAAGAATGCTGATCTAAATTCTTAGTGTGGTTTTGTGTGTGTGTGTAATTACTTAAACAGTTCTTCTTTGTGTTCAACTATATCAGCTGACATGGGGGATATTAATTTCTTCCTGTGAATGCTATAGTACCAACATAAAAAAAAAGAAAATAGAACCAAACCACACCCCCGTCCGCCTTGTCCTATTATAGGCTTTCTATGAGTAATAACGTGAAATGTCAGTTCTTGCAATATAGCTCAGTAACAGACCTATTACCTTTCCTTTTTATCCATAGTCAGGCAGCTGCTCCAGTGATACCAGTACTGATACTTTTTCTTCTCACTTCCATTTACTCTTGCTCCTGTGCACCTGAAGCTGTGTAACGTCTTCCCAGTGCTTTATGGCTACAGAGAATGTTTAGATATCCCTTTTTCAGTACTCCTGAGATGAGTTTTGGGACAAGTGAGAGGGTAGACACACATGTATGTGAGAAGAAATAAAGGTTTAACTGTATAGCTCAGAAGAATTAAGTAAAATGCCTTTATCCTCTCCCTCTTAATTTGATATTATATCTAAATTGCATATTATGGACCTTATGATCCTGGAGAGAAATGAAACAGGAGGGAGACAAGGCAGGAGTAAGGCAAAACAAAAGAGACTGCCTTTTATCCAGTGTGTCCTAATTTGATCTTCCTGTATTGTGGGTAATTTCTCATTTCCCCAGACCGTGCTACCAGGCACAGTGACCTGTGAATATGGGGAGTAGATTTTGCCTTTGAAAAGCATGGAGTACCTCAGCATTTCCTTTATCACTAGATCACCTGTTTACCAGTGGAGACAGGCTTTCCTTTGTCTCTCTTCTGTGGTCTCTGTCCACTTTGAAAGCTTTGTTGCCTTTTACATCCATTGCCAGTTGTAATTGCAGTTGAGTTTTGGATTTCCAAGTTTTATCCTTGAATGCCTAGGTGGTACTTCTGCGTTCCTTCTTGGTCGTTTGATCCTGCTTCCATGTCCTGTACGCTTTCTTTTGTGTTCTCGTCAGCAGTTCAGAGTTTACCCAAGTTGGCCTCCTCACATACTGGCGTATTTTCTAGCATGTTGGGATTGTACTGAATTGAAAAGATTGTCCTTTTAGATTGGCTATCTCTCCTCAGTTCCTGTGCCTCAAAACGCAGCTTCCAAGGGATTTTACCTACTAAAGCTCTAAGCAAGCTGGAATTTCTGCTTCTGAACTCCACAGTGGTTTAGTTTATTGCATCCCTCCTCACTGCCCTCAGGATCTTTAGTTTCACCGTCTCACAGCTGCTGGAGCAAAGTTTGTGTTTGCTAAATCTGGACAGTCTTTCCTTGTTTGTGAGTTGTGATACCAAGAGTATCTTTGCTAGCTGACCAGTCCAAAATCTGTGTCCGCGGAGTCTTGGACAAGAAATTTGCTGGATTGCTTGTGTCCTGCCTTATCAGGGAGGGTTGGTGAAGTCCCTAGTGAGATATCATGAGACTCCTTCCACGTGTTTGAGTACAGTCTTCACTTTAGATAAAGACTTTTACATATCTCTTCATTTAAAAGATGTATCTTATAATTTAGGATGTCTGAGGTGACTGGAAAATTCTACCAGGAAAATATTTTTTTTATGCCTGCTTGTTCTTACCCTTTTCTTTGGATACGCACCATTGCCAAGAGTTGGAGAAAGAAAACACAGGCAGACATGCGTTTACTTTGACTGGATATGGATATTCTTATTGAATGACTAGCAAGGTATTAGCAGTGCATATGAACTCTGTATTTTTTTTTAATAGCTGAGATTCAGCTTTGCTGAGTCATTTCTTTATACTTGAACAGTGACTTTTGCAGTTTGAGTTAGACCTTATTTGCTCATGTTACAGTTTTGAGTCCGTTCCAGATGCTTTCAGGCTTAAAAGTCAGCTGACCTCACTGCCTAAATTATGGGGTAAGATTAAAAACCAGTATGTGTAGCTTCCATCCTTATCATACTCCCCGAGTCTGTAAATCACTAAAGGCAGTTATTTCTTTAGCACAAGAGGGAAAACAAAGAGTAAAACTTAGTAATATATTTTTATAAACAGAATAATTTTGATTTTTATTGTCAGGTTTTCTGTTGGCATGCTAAGCATCTGAGATGTTGTAGAGCATGTGCAGCTCAGTTTTCAGAAGAGGTATATGTTAAAATGTTCTTTTAATTGCTCTGTACTCAAAAATTTTGGAAAATTAATCCTGACCTACTTCTGGTTAACTGCATCCTAAATAGCCTCATGAATCTTTTTTTTCTGTTTATTTCCACAGTCGAACTGCTATAATCATAGAACCATAGAATCGCCTTCATTGGAAGGGACCTTAAAGGTCATCTGGTTCCAACCTCTCCCTGCCATGGGCAGGGATGTTAGTCCCTAGTCACTAATGTTCATCCCATCCAGCAAATTTAAGACTCATCCCTAATTATTCTGAAGTGATTGTCAGAGGAGGTACTAAGAAAATTGCTGCACTGCTTGCTTTTTTTTTCTTTTTATAACTAATGGCAAACCTAGGAAAGAAAAGATAAATAGGAAAAGATTTCAATAAGCATAATGTAAAGGCTGATATTTACAGACTGCTTGTATGTTATTAGAGATAGAAACTCTCTTAGTGAATTAGAACATCAAAGATAGGTTCCTCTCTGAATAATCCCCTGGAGAAAAATTTAGCCATTTGCTTTATTTAAGATTCTATATATCTATTTCTATATATAGTTATCCAACTTAGGTGTCAGTGTTTTGATTCTCATCCTTCCTAGTCCGGAGGGTTTTTTATTCAGTAAGTTGATTAATATGCAAGTAATAATTCCAGTCTTTATTAATGTCCCTGTATATTCTTCATTAATAAGTTTATGATGAAAATTGTAACACTGTCTTCACTGATGTGTTGGGTTGTTTTTTTTTAATTATGGGGTTGGTTTTGGTTTGGGTTTTTTTGTTTTTGTTTTTGGTTTTTTTTGGCTCGCTTTTTTGGGGGTGGGGGGGACTTTTCTTTTCTTTTTTTTTCTTTATTTTGTAGCTTCACCAAAGCCCATATAATAGCTTGAAGTACAGGGACCATCAGATTACAGTTCAGATTAGTAAGGGTGCTCTGTATAAACATGCTGTCTAAAAGGTTGATTTTAAGTCCTGAAGAGTTTGCAGTGTAATTTCCTGCAAGGTAGCTGTGTGATCCAGATTGTCTTTTGCTTTGAGTTTCATGACAGTTGTCAGCGAAATCTCCTTTGAGTGACCAAAATAACACTCCTCTATATTTAATAAAGGATGCACATTATCTTAATATTGCATTTCCTTGAAAAAGTATGTAATTAGATTGTGATGGAAATATGGCCTGTCTTTTCCCATTTAGCATAACTAGCATTGCAGTGACTATGCAAAATTGTCTGGAGTTCCTGTCAGCATCTCATATGTTTATAGACAACCTACAAGATGAAAAGATCTGTAGGCTGATTTTTCCCTGTCATGTGATATTTTAAATGTTTTTTCCTCCTTACAGTGTGATAATTTTTTTTTCTTTGTTTTTAACTTGATAAATACAAAGATTGTAAGTCTTTATCTCTGTGCTTTTGTCTTAGCTATTTTACTAAAACAAGTTCTGGTTATATTTAAAGGCATATAAGAACCTAGAGAAAGAATGTCTTTCAGGAATCATGTGAAGTTGAAAGTTGGGTTTTTTTTTCATATTTTAAAGGATAATGAAAGCGGTCTCAGAAAAGAGAACATCTGGTTGGAATGACCTGGGGATTGGAATAGCTCTTTGGAACTGGGAAAAGATATTTAAATTAGCAACTGTCTTGGGTTTAGGGTAGAAACAAGGGAGTTTGATAAATGACTTAAATATAGGTCTTACAAATTTCAGATTATACAAGCTATTTTATGTAATCTTTGATATTTAATTTTTTGTCATTGGAAATTAAATGAAATCTGTTCTCTCTAGAAAGTGTATTTTCAGTAGGTGTATTTAAGCCTTTAACCATGACTCAGTATATTAAGTGTTTAAATACTGTGATTTTATTTTTCATTTAGGTTGAAGATTGTAAAAATTTCTTTTAAGTGCAAGCAGTTTTTTATTCAACTTAGGAAAGAATTGGTGAGTACTGCTTTAAATATCATAAAAATGAAAGCAACGAAATCACTCCATACCATATGCCTGCATTATACTGGCTGATACTATGTTGATTCTTGCCTTTATCTGCAATTAAAAGTTCAGTTTCACCAACCTTCCAGCTATTTCAGTTTTTAAGTGGACCATTACAGTGCTTCGTACTTCTTTCTTCCATTTAATTTGCCTTATATTTTAGATATGTTTAGTTTTACATTTGTGTACAGGAAATGCAACTTGCTTATATGAGACAAACATTGAAAAGGTTGAAAGTAAATCAATGTTAAATTTAAATTCCGTAAGAAACCAAATTAAAACTAAAGGTAATTCTTAATGCTGCTTCAGTTGTGCATGTGCTTGTAAGGAAATGTTTCATTAAAACATGCTGATTTGCATTATTCAGATTTAGTAATACAAGTTGGCAGTATTACTTATATTTAAACAGAAGAGGTAAGAAAGTCTTTGCAGGTTTATATTGCATATGGCAATTTTTTATGCTTACTTCTAAGTTTGGGGAAAAAGTTGAAGCTTTCTGTGAAGAACATGTAGGTTTCACTGCTTGTGGTGTGTGTTTGCTACCCTGTGAAGTACTGCAGGACCACTGCACATTTAATTCAGCAAGAAATGGATTGTTCCATGCCTCCAAGAGATTAGTCTAAACCCAATACAGTTGTATCACTGGGAAAAGATGGAGAAATTAATTAAAAATATGACTATGTGATTAACTCATCAGATTAGCTAGAAGGTTTTGTACAGTTCTTACAGCTTAAAGGATTTGAAGACCTGAAATGCAGACTTACTGACTAGATAAAAAAGGTGTATTCTAGGTAGAAATACATCCTGAGTATTATAGGACTATTCCAGATTTAGAGGCAATATGGTTAAACAAGAAAAATGTAAGGAGGAAATACCTGTTATGACAGATCAGGGTAATGGCTGGTGACTAGTACTGATACTGAAAATAGGAGTCAGGTGTATCCCTTAAAAGCAGGCTCTTTAAAATGAGGCCCAGGAGTTTGCAGTTTTCACAAATGGAACTACCTGGTCACATGCAGACACCTTGTTCTGAATTAGTTAGCAGGAGAGGTTTAACCTGTGTGCCTTGGAATAGTGTGTGGAGCTATCAGTTCAGAAGTAGAATCAGACGAGTTAGAGGATTTTGAAGTAATTCTTCAAAGAAAGAAATTCTTCTGGAGAAAGAAACGGATTTTAGATAGTACATGAAATAAATGAGAATACCTGTAAATGTGAAAAATACCTGTAAATGTGAAAAAAAAAAAAAAGGGATGGTACAGAAGGGTGGAGGGAATATTTCAGAGAAATACCAGAGACACAGGTATTTCCTATTACCCTACAGGAGCTATATGCTAGTTCTCAAAGGTAAACCAATCTCTGAAAGACCAGATGTCAATTTTGTCTTGATACCAGTGTGTGTAACTTCCATTACTACTGCAGGAATGTTGTATTTAGACCTGAGATAAGAATGTGGGCTTTTATTTGGAATTCAGAAACTACAAACTACAGTTGTTTTGTAAGTCAGAACTTGAGGAAAAGCCTGTGGTATCAATGTTCAGGGCCTTGAAGACTAAGATATGTAGAAGTAAAATTGGATTTGGTGTAGTACTTAAGTGTTTTCTCTTATTTTCTGGAGAAAAAAAAAAAATCTGCATATAATCAAAGGTAATATAATTTTTTTCTAATTTTTTTTTCTGTTCCTTGTTAATACTCTGCATATTGCTACTTGCAGCAGAATGTAGTATATGTAACTACTATAATTTCTCTTCTGAGGCATCTTATCGAAGCCAAAAAATTAAAAAGCCTTATACTGTTTTCCTTAAAACTCTATGTATCAGATGAAAACTGATGGCAAGAACTTAATTTTCATTCATTCCAAGTCATGAATATCATGAGATCAAAGCTCAAATTTGGCTTCCAAAGAAATCGTACCTGAACTATTTTTTTAATCAAACCTTATATTAAAATTATTTCCAGCTATTTTCCCAGAGTAGACTTGTAGGATAAGATTCAGCTCACCTATACTCTGCTTCAGTTAAATTAAAAGAACATACTTTCGTGATAATTATCTCACTGAAGTCAGTCATTAGACTTCCTCCGTAGTAACCAGGCACATGGAAAGGGTGGAACATCTTGCATGAATTGCAAGTACGTTTTACAATGGAATAAGTTGCTCTCTGGTGGTATATGCTTACTTGTGCTTTCACACCCATTAACAATAAAGGAAGCCTAAATGACTCTCTTTAGGCAGAAGAAACTAGGTGAAGTGACTCAAGTGATTGCACATTTGGTATGTAAAATAGCTTTGGTCTAGTGCTTTGACTGTATACTTAAAAGCACCGATGTGGCAGTGAAAATATATTCTTGGTATGCTGATGATGTGTTTTGAAGTTTTGTGTAAATTTATACCAAATTCTACAGCTGAATAACCATATTTATTCAGATGCAAAGCTGAGATATTATAGGGTATTAAATTAGCGGACTTGAGAGAGGAATTCTATTTTTTCAAAACTGGGCTACGTACGCTTTTAAATAGTCCTAAACAGGGATTTTTTGAATACTGTTAATGAGTATTGAGAGCTTTTAATTCCAACTGTCCTCCAAAGTGCAAGTGCCTTATCTTTTAATCATCTATTAATTTTATTCTCTGGCTTGGCATTGCTTAGAGGCATCAACATAAGTAAAGAATTATTTGCCTACTTTTAATAGATTATATCTGTGTTTAAATAAATCACTTGAAGTCAGATGAAGCTGTCTAACATCAGTCATTTTCCACTGGTAGCATAACGTAATCTTGAATGGAAGCTGGTTATATATTCTGACAATTATATAGCTGGAGCATGCGTCCAGTGAAGTAAGTTTTCTTTCCATTGTTTGTTTATGATTTTGTGGAGGGAAAAGAATGTTTCATGTGTGACTTCTTCATCCAACATTAGAAGGTCTCTGAGCCATAATTTTAGTGGCAGGATTTTTTTCACCGTATTTTTATTTATTCTTCCAGTTCCATATGCTGCTTCCCTTCCATGCTTTGAAGCTGCTTGAGAATAATTCAGTAGTTTCATTTTTCTAGATGTTTCCATAAGATTCTCTGGTTTTAGTTAGTGGTATCCTGAGCTGTTGTAATATAAATAGCATCAAACTCATAATGCTGTGCAGCATACTTTAGTGGTCTTGATGCTTTGACAGCCAAATAAACTGTTCAAGATTTTCTTCTGCACTTTCAGAGCTCAGATGTCCACTGAAAAATTATTTGAGTCTGTAACAAAACCATACCATGTGTATTGTCCACGACCAAGGCTTGGTTTCAGTGAGTGGTCAAATATTTCTATTTGTTTATTTATATATAAAAAAATAAAATAGGTTATATATCTGAAGTTTGGGCTTAGAATTTTTTCTTCTTACTGACTTCTAGAAAGAAATTGGGCTAGAATCACAAGGTGATGTATGGGTTTCTCTTCCCAAGTACATACTTGATATTAAGTAACACTGGCATTTTTTAGATGCCTATTTGATTGTTGCCTAATCCTCTTGAAGTTTCTGTCTTGTTTTGTTTTGTTTTGGTGTGTTGTTTGTTTTTTTTTTTGTGAAGAGCAGATACTGTTGGTATAATCTGCATTGAATTTAAGCTTCTACAGGACTTTTTTCCACTACTTCTGCAATATCTAGAGTCTCTGGTGCATCTGCCGTTTATAAATTGCAAGTCATTTTGTCTCTGAGATGGGGTAGGGAATTTTTGCATTGTTCTGGTATTTTTTTTTGCTTAGGCAAAGTGAAACAGACCCCCTAGAGAGTATGTTTTCCAGCCCAGTTTCTGGCCTCACCAGTAAGAGGTCTGCTCTGAATCCCCTGTTTCAAGCCATGGAGTGGCTTGTGTTGGATGGGACCTTTAAAGATCATCTAGTTCCAACCCCTCTGTTATTGGCAGGGACACCTTAACTCGACCAGGTTGCTCAAAGCCCCCGTCCAGCATGGCCTTGAGCACTGCCAAGGATGAGGCAGCCGCAGCTTTTCTGGGCAGTCTGTTCCAGTGTCTCACCACGCTCATAGTGAAGAATTTCTTCCATTTGTCTCATCTAAATCTACCCTCTTTCAGTTTAAAGCGATTCCCCCTTGTCCTGTCACTACACATCCTTGTAAAAAGTCTGCAGCTTTCCTGTAGGCCCCCTTTAGGTACTGGCTGCTATGAGGTGTCCCTGGAACCTTCTCTTTTTCAGGCTGAATAAGCCCAACTCTCTGAGCCTGTTGTCGTAAGAGATGAGCTCCAGCCCTCTGATCATCTTCATGGCCCTCCTCTGGACTCAGTCTGATAGGTCCACATTGTTCTTATTTTGAGGGCCCCAGAGCTGGATGCAGTACTGCAGGTGGGGTCTTACAAGAATGGAGTCGAGGAGAATCACATCCTTCTGCCTGCTGGCCACACTGTGTTTCCTGCAGCCTGCATATGGTTGGATTTCTGGGCTGCAGTTCCAACTGCTTCACTCTTCTCCCTCTCTATATTAAGCAGACTATTTTCCTCTCTCTAATAGGAACCATGGACACAATTAGTAAGACAGTAATTTCAGAGCAGAATCCAACTGTAACTCCCTGAGGTTGTCTTCTAACACTGTCTCAGCAGACCTAAGGCCCTGAAATACCTGTATGTCATTGTCCTACAGAGCATTCAGCATCTTCCTGGAGTCTTGTGCTATAAAAACATTCCCATAGGATGCAGTATAACCATCCTGTTATTTTGTGTGCTTTTGGCTGAAGTACGTGGACACTATGAACGTTGCCTTGGGGTCTTATGCTGACCTCTCATTGTTTCAAGCCTACGATTTTCAAGGAAAACAGTGGCAATCTTAGGCTAAGTCCAGCTACAATACAGCAGTAGAGCCAGGGCTTGCACTCCAGAGTCATCAGCAAAGATTAATTTCAAGTGCCAGACTTATGTTTTGGTATTACAGAAGCTGCAGGTATGGACAGGAGAAGGATGGGTGCACTTAGGAGCCAATATCTTATACTCTTCTGTAGCTTAAAGATGGATTCGTAGCTGTAATTAAGATGAAGGGAAGGGTCTGAGAAACACTTCTCTCTGCACTGCAATGAAAGCCTTAAAAGCTATGAATAGAACTATTGTTGAAGTACCTTTAAAGCTCTAACACACCAAGTTCCTGTGAAAGTGCTGTTTCGCATTACAATTAAGCTGATCTAGCTGCAGCTCCTTCTCATCATGATACCAGCTCCTCCTTCATGCTTCATGCCTGATCTAGTGATCAGATGGTGCCATGAGAATCAGATCAGCTCCTTCTCTGGAATACAAAATAGGGGGAACAGCAGGGATTTTATTTTTCCCCAACCCATAATTATAATGCTTTGAGTGACATGAAAATGTATGATCATCAGTTCATATAATGTGTCAAATTCTCTTTTCAACAGTGTAAAAGTCTGACAGAGCATTAAAATTTGCTACATCATGAGAACTTCCTGTTGGAACTTAACATCTGAGCTGGCTCATCCTTTACTGTATCCAGATGAGGCAGTTCATAATTTTACATAGTTAGTTGGTCTCTTGCAGAATAGCAATGTATCTTGTTTATATTATTGTACATTTACTTTGTTCATAAAGCCTTTTCTAACTGAATAGGTAATGGATTTAATTTGTTTTGTTAACATGTCTAGAAAATACAGGGAACAGCTGTCAATACCTGGAAATTAAGAGAATGTAGCACATTTTTTAAGTTGAAATAAAGTATCAGGTTTTAGTTTCTTGGATGTAATTTCTTGAATTTCACCAATAGATACTCAGGACTTGATGTTTACTCTTTAAATCCATTTTATTGTTTACCCTTCATCATGCAGCTGAAAATACAGTGCTGTTCTTAGCTGTTGGTCATGAGGACTTCCCAAATACAACACTGGGAGAAGAGTTGCAGGTCTCTGCCCTGGTATTTCAGCAAATCTAAAGATGAGCAGACCAGCAAATGTGTAACTTGGAAAAGGAGTTACTGCTAAGTGGAAACAGTTCAGGTGTGCTGAATGTTGGGAAGGATTTAGTACTGTGAAGAGAAAGCAGAGTGCTGATGGTGTTTTTTGACCTACAAAGATTGTAATCAAGCTCCCTCAACAGGCAGAATAGCTTAGCTTGTTTTGCACTTTTGCCTCTTTGCTTTACCAGGAATCGAATTAATCATTTAGAAGCGTGAACATCAGTTGCTGTCAAGATCAGTACCTGGTCCCAATTTGTAATTGGCACATGTGTGTGGTAGTTCCTCGCCTTAACTTCGGGAATCTTGAACCAGGGAATCATGTTGCTTCAGAATTCTTTAATCAGAGAAATGTTTTAATGCAGCTTGGGTCCTGGCTTTTGGGACCATTTCCATCTATTTGCTTCAGTATCACTACACTGACTGTTAACCTTTTAACAGGCTCAGTAAAAAAAAAATTGTTTAAAGAACATATTTTTAGAGGGTTTATTATCTTAAAAATACTTAAGAGGTATTTTTAAAGGGTTTATAATCCATAAAATTAATGTAAAAGTAGAGAACCACCTCAAAAACCATAATGTAAAAAAATAATAATTAAAATAACCCAAATATAACAGTATCTATCTTAATTTCAGAAGTAACTGGGCATAATTTTTATCTGACATAAATTTTTCTCATTTTTAGCATGAATCTAGAGAAACGTTACTAGGATTCAATATGGTGAATTACCGCGCATGTAAGAATTTATGGAAAGCTTGTGTGGAGCATCACACATTCTTCCGTTTGGACAGACCGCTCCCCCCTCAGAAGAACTTTTTTGCACATTATTTCACTTTGGGTTCCAAGTTCCGGTACTGGTAAGTGCTAATTTGAAATACATGCAAAAGAACATAAGAGAACAGGCAACACATTAATGAACATAGGGAATAATTTAGAATCTGTATGAAGAGGTGTCATAATTCAAGCAGCTTTTGAATCCTGCAACTGCCCCCTTCCCCTGCTGGCCTAAGTTTCAAATGTTGTCAGTAACTCTCTAGGCTATCTTGAAAATATAATTATTGTATTACTGGGGGTTGTTATGGAGTTAGTACTCTTGAGATTGTCTCACAGGCTGCTTTTGCCTGCTTACCTGCTGGGTTATGTTTATCTTAAAAACGTTGTCTCAGAAATTCAGAGTCTTTGACCTGGTGTTTTTGAAAATTGATGGATCTCAGATCTTTTCGCAGCAACAAACCAGACCTAAATAAAGGTCAAGCAGAAATAAAGGAAAAGAAGCTTATACAAGTAAAGCCCACTTAAGCTAGATGCATACAAATAGGAACTAGGTGAAAACAAAAGACATGTATTTTCTGCACCAAAGCCAGAAGTTTAGAAAATAAGGATGAAGTCCATAAATTTTTTAAGGGTGAACTTTATATACGAAAAGCTTGGAGATACAAAGAATGCTGTGGAATGACTATAATCCCCAAGTATAATTTTTATTCTAACGATGGAATGGGTGGTGTTGGGTTTTAGTGTTTTACGCTTTTTACAAAAAAAAAAAAAAATCTCAGTTCAGGAACTGAGTTAACTGTCTCTGCGAGTCATGCAGCTTGCCAATGGCTTAAATAGTGCCAGAAGTAGAGAATAATAGAATCCATCCAGAATGGCAACAGTGTCTGTGACGTATGAAGAGAGATGATGAAAAGCTGAAAAACACAATAACAGACTATTTCTGTTACCCTTGTGAATTGCATAAATATATAAAGAGGAAAGTAATTCAGTGGCTAAATTTTTATGCCATCTGTGCTTTTGACCAGCATTCACAGCACCCATTTGAGAAACAGCATTCTGTGATCCTGAACAGTATTTGAGACTTGATTCAATGTTGCTGTAGTGAATTTTGGGGAGCTTTTTCATTTCTTTAAAGATTTTGAATTTGAATCATTGTGGTTACTATTACAGAAAAGCTCTTTGATGATGACATTCAACTTATGTTAATGTAAGATGAAAAGGGAAACTGCATAAAAATGAAGAAGGTCATTAAAGTTAATGAAGCAGCCAAAAGGCTAGAATTTCTGCAAGTAGTTTGAGAGGTTGTTTGGAGGCAGCATAATAGTAGTAACTCGCACACAAGGAGAGGTTAAGGGCACTGGGTTTGTTTAACCTAGCAAAGAGGACGCTAAGGGGAAAAGCAAGAGGGTTAGCAAGGCTAACGCTACTTCAGGGGCAGTGTCAGAAATGGTGGAGACAAACTTGTGCTGGCAATGACAGCTGGTAGAACAAGGGGCAGCATCCACAAGTTTTACCCGGAAGGTTGTAGCTGTAAACGTTTTTGGGGTTTTGATTTCTTGGAGGATAGTGCATTACTGTAACAAGTTACCCAGAGGGGTTGTGGAATCTCTATTTTTGGAGGCTTTCAAAACTTGTCTAGACAAAGCTGTGGCCAGACATGTCCTAGTGTTAGCAGGAGATTGGAATAGAGACTTCTAGCCAACATTTCTATGATTAAAACCAACTAATAAAATACTAAACTGCCAGGGCTAGACTGAATTATCTCCAGTTCTGAAAGAAATCAAAGACATGAAATGGTTGAATTATTAAATGTGTTACATATTCTATTATATCCATTGGAATAAATGATTCTAATGCAACGATTCTAAAAAGCTTCCAGGAGGGATCAAGAAGACAACTGATGAGAAAATCTGACTTCTGTACACCGTGCTTGGATTTTCAAAGTGGTTCTAAAACTGTTCCTCACCAAATACTGAAACTACCAAAACATGAAGAGTTTTATTATATGTTAGCAACTGTGAACTGTTTTAACCAGATGGGAAACAAGTAGGACCCTTCTTCGCAATGAAGGAAGTTACCACTGAAGCGATACAGGGCTTTGTAGTAAAAGCTGAAGCTGACTGTCAAAAGTTTCGGTGGTATGTCGCAATGAGGGGTCAGTAGGCAGTAAGATGGTAGATGAAGTTCAGTGTCCAAAAATGAAAAATAATATACACAAGGAGGAGCATCAATTTGAAGCAAGTTATTACTGTCTTGGAGCTTCATAGTTCTCTAAAAACATTAAATCAGTTATTAGTAGCTGTTAGGGAAAGGCAAATATAATGTTAAAGTTATTGGAATGGAATAGGGGAAAATACAGATGGCTTACTGCTTGTCAGGGTTAAAATGTGTAACACCAGGAAGTTAGAAGGCAGCAGTTTTGAAAAAAGACATTTCTTACATTCACACCGTGGCAGAGGTTGGAAGGCAGCTCTGGACCCTGTCTAGTGTAATGCCGTGTTCAAACAGGGTCCACTATAGCAGGTTGCCTTAGATCTGTGTCCAGCCAGGTTTTAACTCTCTCCAAGAACGGAGACTGCACTATCTCTGAGCAACCTGATAGAGTGTTTAACAGCCTTCACAGTAAAAAAGGGGTTGGTTGTGTTTTTTTTAAGGGGGTTTGGGCATGTTGTTGTCGTCATTTCCCCCCCCCCCTCCAGTTTAAGTGGTGTATCCCATAATTCAGTTTGTGACATTGCTTATTGTCCTGTTTCTGGGTCCATTGGAAAAAATCTGGCTGTATTTTTCATTTCCCTCTTCAGGCGTTTATACACACTCATTTGATCCCCAAGTGTTCTTTTCCTGGGCCTGAACAGCCCACATAAGCCAGTTCTTCTGGACCCTTAATTGTCTTTGTGGCCTTTTGCTTGGCTTGAGGAAACCTGGAACTCAACACACACTCCACTCCACATGTGGTCTTACCTGTGTTGAGTAAACCTGCTTTCCAGCCAGTTGGCCCTCAGCCTCTGCGTTGGGTTATTCCTCCTCCTCAAGGTGCAGGTTGTTGCATTTCCCTTCACTGAATTTTGTGAGATTCCAGTTGGCAAATTTCTCCAGCCTTCACACATCCAGTAGTTCTGTAGTATGAATATGAAAATAGCTAATTATTCGTTCATTTCATTGTGTGAATGTTCCTGTAAGGAACAAAACAGAGCAGAGTTTTAAGCATCAGTACTGTTTTAGGACATGTGTTTTCTGACTCTGCCTTGGTCTGAAGTTATAAATGGGGAAGTGGCTGCAAGAGGGAGATTTACTGGTATCTTGCCCCCAGTTCTTAACTGCTAATAGACACTCAAAAAAACCCAACACACCACCCTGTATTTTTTTCTAAAATAGAAATTATGAAATATTATAAAGGATCTTTGATTTGACACAAGACATCTGCTCTTATCTGAAAAGTCAGCAAGTTCCAAGATCTAATCTTGGTTTTGACAAGTTGTGTAGAAGAATACAAGCCTGATGTGCTTATTATCAAATTTCTTCATGGTATTTTGCTGAACTAAGTAGTGACTAAATTATTAGCAATTCAGGGAGTAGTTTCGGAAGAATACAGAGGGGGTGCTGTAACTTTTGATTGTGACTGTAACAGGAAAGATTATAATGTTATCCAAAGATCCAATCAGTACTTTCTTGGGAAGGGAAGAGAAGAGAAAGCTTTATGTTATGCCTGAAATTGATTGTTCTTTGTTACAGTTACACTATGATAGGAAAGAAGACCTCCACTTCTACCAAATGCTTTCTAAAGTTACATTGTACTGAATTATTGGCATGATTGCTTGAGCGTAACTGAAATAGAATTTGGGTTTTGTTTTGTTTTGTGGTTTTTGGGGGGGTTGGTTTCTGGTTTTGTTGTGTTTTTTTTTTTTGGCAGAGATGTCTCAATTTTAAGGAATAAAATGTTATCCTAAATTTTTTATATTTAGTGGTTTCGTTTGGTTTTGTTTTCCAGTGGGAGAACAGAGGTCCAGTCTGTGCAGTATGGTAAAGAAAGAGCAAACAAAGATAGGGTGTTTGCAAGGTAAGCAATTTGCGTTTGTACAAGATCAGTAAGTCTCCTGTTTGTGTATTTTTAGGTGTTATGGGATCACTGTTTTCTGTGGGCAAAAATGTAAAATAAAGAACAACTATTGTCAACTGTTGTTGGTGGCTTGACTTAGCCATATTAAGGAGTTTAATTTTGAAATGGGATGGTGTCTTTATGAGGCAGCCAGAAACTGGGGGGAATCTTATGATGGAAAAAGTTAATAAGGGTATTCTTTAATATTTCCTCTTTCAGAATAGCCTTCAATCTGTGTAATTTGTTCTTACATGTACTGGTCCTTTTTGTGCTGTCTTTATTGCAAAGAATAGTCTCTTTAACTCATCCATTAAAATATTGAGTTAATGGGTATGTTTTATCCCTGATAACAACTTGCAACTGTCCATGCATACTTCCTTTAGAATAAGGTACTGTGAGTGTCTCACGTAGTGAGAACAGCTTTATTGCTGAAGTCCCAGTGAGATACTTTACTATGAAAAATTTGAGAGTGAGCTGCTTCTGAAGGTGTTCTGTCACAGAGGAGTTGGCTAATCATACAATCTATTACTTAAGATTCCTGAGGGGTTTAGTGATTACAGGAAAGCAGTCAAGACACAGATTTAGTTCTTCATTCAGAACTTAGGATACAGTATTCAAAAGTAAAACTGCTGCTGCACCCATTTGGCAGTCTGCTCTGATCCCTAATAGATAGAGTCCTTCTGAGGAGGGAGTGTGCTCTGTCCTTTTTTTATGCTTATACTTTTGCTGAGATCTTAATGTCTTTTAACATAGTTACCTCTTAAGGAACTCTGGAGTTCAAATTTATGCTCAAAGACTTAGTAACAAGTCCACCAACCTTTCTCAAGTACCTGCAAACACTGCTTTTCAGATCATTGGTGAATTTAGCCTTGATTTCCTGTGTTGTGGTGTCCCCCTTGCTTTCTTTACCCCTGTACAATGTAATGTGAGTTTTCAGCTGGGCACACTGTAGATACTTAGCTCCATATTAGAAGGATTTGGGGGCAGATGTGCTGTGAACTGTTTTTCAGCAGGTAGATTTTATAAAACCAGTTTGTTCTGTGTGCTGTAGAATTATTTTTTGCTTAATTTATTTTGGGAACCTGCTTAAATTTTTACTTAGGGCGACATTTTTAGTTCTCAAAAGACTCAGCACTATGACAACAGAGTTTTATTTATTTAAATTACAGTTATGAATCAATTAAAAGCTATTTTTTGTGTTGCACTCTGAACTTGGCAATTCCCCACAAGTAAGTAGGGTGGAGTAGAACCAAAACTTGGTTTTGAGGAATATATTTATAATTTTAAAAACTCTTCTTCAGTAGATGGCACTCTTCCCTTTGCATCAGAGCTGAACAAGTGGTGCCTGGGTCACTTGTATTTTATAAAATATATTCTGGATTAAATTGAAGGCCGTGGCTAGAACTGCTCTGATGTTTTCTCAAGTCTTTTGGGGTTTTTTAGTTAAAAAAAAATACTTGGCTTTTCTGTCCTCAGTAATTATATTTTCCACTGTTGCTTTTAAGATTGAAGAATAAAGCATTCTCCTCACCTCGAGTTTTTTATTAATGTTAATGTCTGATAAATGTCTGAGGTGTATGTGTGTACATCAGTGAGCTGAAATTTATGGTGTATACCATAAATACACACATCGAAAAACTTTCAATAAATCATGCGTCCTCTGTCCTCCCCAGCACAGTGTGCAATTAATGGCTTTTCAATTTTAAAGACTTCTAGTATTTGTAAAGGTGAAAACACTTGAAACATTAAGACGTTCCTAGAACATTATGTGGTTCAAGAAGCTTAATCTAAGAACATTATGTTTTATTCTTGGTCTTCTAAATATTTACATTTCAAGCTGAAATACTGAGCAGATGTTAGCCCTTTTGTATTTGTACAGAGAGCAAATTTAGCTTTTTAAGGTTTTCCAGGTATAACATGGGGTTTGTTCCTGGGACCTTCCTTTTTCTTTCTCAGTGTGTCTTTCTCAGACAAAGTCATTGAGTTCAATGGACAAGCAGCTCCTTCTGGTTGCTTTTGAAAGTTCGTCTAGGTATTGGTTGCCTTTTGCTGTGAAGTCAGAGCGTGCTAGCATTACAGTCAGGTCAGTCTTGAGAATTAAGTGAATACAGGAAAAAAAACTAAGTACTTACTGTTGCTTTTATTATTCCCACATCAAAAGATGTGTTCAAGATCAGTTGTTAAGAAAAACAGTTTCAGTATTTTGTTGGTTTTTTTTCTAGAGCTCTCCAGATTTACACTCTTATCATTATCTAACTAGAAACTGCCTTACTGAGCTAATACTGTCTAAGCAAATTTTTGAATCATTTCATTGTAAGAAAATAACACAATTATATTGAGATGTTATTTGAGTTACCTGTTTGTTCTAAGTTGGGAAATGGTGATTGCCAAAAGTAGCGATCCTTTCACACTGTGCAGAGCACAGAAAGCACCAGACATGGAAATAAAATTTCTTAACAGCCATTTGATTAAAACAAACAGTTATAACCTACAATTTAGCAGGCTTAGCTCTGTCCTCGGGACTTTACTTTAAAATTAGGTGAAGTTGTATTCATGTATTTCTTTACTTCCAAACTATAAAAACACTTTAATTTTTAAAAATGGATAGTCTGTAATAAATTTGATACATTTTGTAGATGCTGTTTTCTTAATCTTCATGCAGCAATAACTTCAGCATTTAGAAGACAGTTGCTGTGGTTGTTTAGGTTATTATTTTTTTTAATCTTTATTACAGCTATTCTCTTGGCCTCATTTATTGTAAGATATTCACAACCCAAGAAGACCCATGAGAATTCTCAGGAGCATACTAAAAGTGAAAACAGATAATAAAAGTGCAAAAAATTCAATCAAGTCATAAATTGAGAGATTTCTTAAAGACCATTGTTTGCTCTTAAAGTCCTTGCAAAGTATTTTAGTTCTGTTCAATTCTGATGGAAGGTAGTTTGATAGTGAGTAGGTATCTCAGTCATTGTATTTGCAAACTCCCTATCATTAAGTTACAATCTCTATTTCCAAAAATCCAGTCTTGCTTCAACCATGTATTTATTCAGGTTAATTAAGTAGTTCCTCGGTTGCTTTAAATTGCATATGTAATTTGTGTTGTCTCTGCAGATTTGTGTAGACTCAGCCTCTTGGTTTGAAACAGTAGTTTCGAGGTTTGATGACAAATACGTCCCTGTGCCCTTTGTCAAAACACAAAGCTAGGCTGTGGCTCCAGGTTATATTTCTTTCTGGGGCAGAAGTGATTTAAAAGATTCCCACCTGTATTCCCAAACAATACCCTCTTTCTTTCCCAGCTCCTGCAAGAATTTAGCAGGACACAAAACCAATTCTGTCTTTGAAAGCTTTTGTGTACTGTAGCTGAGATAGTATAATTTGTCATGCCTTTTTTTAGTTGCATTATGTGATTTCATCCCTTCTACTTGGGGTTGTGTGTGTGTGTTTGATGGAGTATTGCAGCTTGTAAGACTGGTTTTGATTTTGGGGGCAGGTAAAGCCTCTGTCCCTACTCAGATAGAAAGGACTTCTTCCAACATATTTAGGAATGTCTCTGCAGATACACCAGAAATTGAATCTGAAAGAGTTTACTCTGTTAAAAGCAGTGCTGTGTGCTGAGGTACAGTACAAGCATCCAGACTGAACAGACAAACATGGACTTTAGAATTTCAAACTTTATAAAAGAATTTTGAAAGTTTTTTATGGCTTACTTCCCCCTTCCCATCTCCTCAGCTGTATTCTGGCATGAGAAACCTATTTGAATATTGTAAAGAATTAGCAGTACAGGAGAAACTTGCTGGAATATTTCACAACAAATCTTAAATTACAGTGAGAAATAAGTTATTGTTAGAAGTGCTGGCAGGAGGATGAGTATCAAAAAGCCACAGCACTGAGAAGTTTGATGCTGCAGTGTGGTAATTTTTTCTTTGAAATTTCTGCAAAGACAGGAAATGGAGGCAACAAACGTGTGGGTGGGACTCTGAGGTTAGAGCTGTTAATAAAATAATTGAAACGAACCTTTGCTGATAAGTGCTGCAGATGTTTAGTGTGGTGGTAAGCTGTTGTTTCTGAAAGATCAGACCCTAACCACAGAAAAAGGTGAGTTTTCTTAACATTGGATTTTTTTGATGGGGAAGAAGGTGCTTTTCTCATTTTAGAGTTATGTTCATTTGTTGCATAGATTGAGGAAGTTTTCAAAAACGTAATTATAAACTATCAGTTAAGATACAGTGCAGAGTGCAGTAGGGGCTTTTTGAAGCAGTCAGAGGTGAATTTTTGGAAAAACTTCGATTCCCCCCCCCCTTATATATATATATATATATATCTGTCTCTCTTTGTAATTTAATTTGTTTTATACAGACAAGAATAGTGCCCTTTCATTGTTGCGCTTTAAAAATAATATATATATAGACACACCAACATTCCTGTGTTACAGTTGTTGCTTATTCACTGAAGGTTTTGCATGTCTGTCAGAAGATACTGTACCTGCACACCTGTATTTACCTAGTTTAGCACTGGATGTATTATGTTCCTCTGCATTTTTCCCTCAGCCCTTTCTTTGGTTAGTTAGAATCCACCTCTTGGCAGAGCTGGCTCTGGGTGCTTATCTGCTGGCTGTAGGCATGCTGTCAGCAAAGTCTAGGTAATGATAACTTTGATTAATAAGACAAGAATGAGCAGATAACATTAGACATACTGTTCAGATCTGCAGGTTTCTTATTATTTCACTTGTTCAGAACTGCTCAAATTTGCTATGTTTGGGAAGAAAAATAGATAAGTAGTTTGAGATGCTCCAATTTGAAGCAAATTACAGAAACTGAAGTGTTGTTTTAATTGACATTATATCAAGCTAATTACTTTTTGAATCAAACTAATACTGCTTAAATACAGTGAAGAAAACAGATGTGTTTTTTCCTCAGGAATTAAATAATTATTTTCTCTGTTTTCAAATAATCAATATGCTGTCAGATTTTTTTTTCCCCCTGCATGCAGTAAGACTTGAAACAGTAGTATTTTGAACAGCCCATCTCAGTTAACTGTCTGAAATTTGTCAGCTGTTATTTAGTAAGGCTTTCAGGTAGCAAAGCAGAAAGTACATGTTCAAAACTGCTTAGGAGTGTAAAACCAGAAATAAACCCTCCACACACTGACCACCCCTTCTTTAGTATCAAACAAACACTGCTGACAGCAGTAGGACTTAAGTACCTATGTAAAGATAGGTAATTTGATATGATGCTTGGTTGGTTATCATTGTGGTCTCTTTTTGCTTAAGGTGGTGGCTTGCATTGAGCTCTAAGTTCCATGAGAAGCAAAAATGTATTTGCAACTAACGTTCTCATTTTCGGAAGGATGTAATTTGTGTGTGGGTATTTCCTTAATTTCTCAAAGTTCCTTCCTTCTGGACTTACACTTTCAGTAAATCAGTAAGATGATGATGAAGATAAATAACAGTTACCATGTGTCCTAAAACCAGCAAAGGCAGAGATTGTTTTGTGATACAGGTGTATGGAGCTGGGGAAAGAAATAGAGGAGTTATGCTGATACACTAATATGTTGTCGCCTCATTGTGCAAAGCTGGAAACTGGATGTCCTGATTTCAGCTGGGATAATTTTCTTCTTAGTAGCTTATAGAGTGCTGTGTTTTGGATTTGGTATGAGAACAATGCTAATAACACAGTGATGCTTCAGTTGTTGCTAAGTAGTGCTTACCCTGACCAACTCTTTTCAGTCTCTGATGCTTTGCCCAGAAGCTGGGAGGGAGCAGGGACAGGACATCTGGCCGAAACTAGTCAAAGGGATACCAGAGAATGTCATGCTCAGTGTAGAAACTAGGGGGAGTTGGCTGGGAGGGGCTGGTCAGTGCTCAGGACAGGCTGGCACCAGCCAGTGGGTGGTGAGCAATTGTATTGTGCATCGCTTGTTGGTTACCCCTTATTATTGTTGTTACTGTTCTTTTACTTTATTTACTTTATTTCAGTTATTAAACTGTTCTTATCAAAACCAAGAGGTTTTACCTTTTTTCTCAGTTCTTCCCATCCCACAGCGGGGTGTGAATGAGCAAGTGGCTGTGTGGTCCTAAGTTGCTGGCCAGGGTGAAATCATGACAGTAGAGTGTCATGATAGAATATAAAGGCAAATTGGAATTAAATGGTCATAGCATAAAGACTGATGAAATTGAGGTTTCACTGGAACAAGAGAGGGTTGGGTAATGGTAGTGGAGAAGCTTGAAGTATGTAGCACCATTAAAGTAGTCGGAATAAAAGCCCGATAACATAAAATACACCAGACAGGTAAGGATTATTTAAAAGAATTTTTGTTGTTGGATAAAGAATTTTCAGTTAAAGACAAACAGCAAAAGTCTGGGTATGTTTAGTTGTAGGATGATCGAACCATCCAATGTGATGCTACAAAAAAAGCAACCACAATTCTTCAATGATTCATTTGATAATTTCCACTATAAAAGAGAAATGAAGTATTTTATGAGGGATTGCAAATATGGTCTCATTTGTGCTTAAGAAACAGGTGAAAGAAACAGCAGAAGGGGATTGTAGGTATCCTGGGATTACTCAAGAATGAGAAGAAAAAGTTTCCTCAACACCAAGAAAGGGCAACAAATAGAAAATGCTGTTACTTTTGTACAAAAAAATTGGTGATATGACCTTTAACCTGAAGGACTTTTGTGGTACAGTACCAAATGAAGTTTGGTTACTGACAAAGAAGTGTAAATAGAATGATTGCATCTGCGATACAGGTAACAAAACATGTTCTGGAAGAAAGCCTGTCACCTGTATGAAAATCCCTGATAAGTAAACAAAACTCAGGAGCTCTGTTGTCATGTTGATGACTATCCCACTTCTAGTTCTTCATAGTCTTTGGGACATTGTTTTGGGCTGGTGTTTGCACTGCTTTATTTTTCCTGAAATGGCTGAATAGTGTTACTTAGAGGGTTGGGGTTTTTTGTGTTTTTTTTTTTTTTGTTTGTTTGCTTGTCTTCTGTTTTATTTCTAAGTTCAGACCTCTTAATGGCTATTTTGTTTGAATCGGATTCTCTTTGAGGCATTAGAAATGCCTAGTGAAGTTCAGTGGGTTCCTATTCCATCTTGCCTGTCTTCCTTCCAGCCAATAGTATTTCATGACTGTATTTCATTGATGTTCTTGTACAGAGTACAGAAAATTAAGTACAATATATTGAGAAAATAAAGAACTGCCCATGTAAATAGTTTTGCATAATTCTATTTCCTTTTTTCCATATAATTTGGTTGTCTGTGATAGAACATCATTTTAATTCTGGTGAATTTTATGTATTTGTATGAGGCAAATTTGTATTTGCTCATACAATTTTTGGTTAGTCATTTTATTTTCTTCTTCTAGATCCCCCAGTAAACCCTTAGCACGAAAATTAATGAGTGGGATGGACTGGGAAGTAGTGAGTAGGAATTCACTGTCTGATGATAGGTTGGAAACACAAAGCCTGCCATCACGGTCTCCACCTGGAACCCCAAATCAGTAAGTAGTGTCCAATCTTCTCTCTCTAGAAGTAACTGCCTACCTCTAATGTGAACGACTTGTCTGTATAATAAAAGGATTAATGCATCACTGAGACAAATAACTTGACAAATTACGTGCTGAGTGGTTCTATGGAACATTTAGCTCCAGATAAGAGAAACTATTTGGGTGTGAATTTTAGGTACTTCTCACTCAACCTGTAAGAAGTGCAAGATGTAGCATGCTACCCTAAATTTGAGAGCTTGAGTTTTCTTGACAGGTTAAAACTAACTTATTAATTGTCTAAGAAAACACTGGTAATAAAATCTGTGTGATATTTTTGAAATAATTTATCCTGGTTAATACCACTTCCTAAAACATTAGGTAAGTTACTTAATTGGAAATCCTTGTGGATTTATTCCCCTCAGTTTTTCTGCATTTCCTTTCAAAGGTCACTCTTCCCACATGATAGAACTTTCTGTTTATGTTTATAGTTAGTGAAAACTCATTCCTGATTTCTTTGGGGAAATAACCAGTTTTTTTCTGTGTGCTGAAAATGGCTTAAGAATCAGTATTGCCCAATTTTGGATTGCATAAACCAGAAGGTTTTAAGATTCTTTGGCACTACAGCATATTATTCAAAAGACTGTTGTTGTAAATATCTGTAGCATTTAAAAATTCTTGTGAAATTATATTTATGCTTATAGCATAATATAATTTAATCGTGTATGTTTCAAAGCAAAGAAGGGTGTTAATGTCCCTGTGCTAGTTTTATATATGGGAAAATTTTAGGTCACAGAAATAAGGCTCACAGTGCAAAGCTTATGATCTTTGTAGGAGAAGATGCAGAGGATAAAATGTTCAGATTAATTTCTGCCATGAAGAGACCTAGATTTTTTTTTTTCTTGGGGATTAATTTTTCTTTTCATTGACTGGACTGTCAGTTCAGTAGCTTGTTCATTGGACCATCATGCTTTCAGGCTTCTTCAATTAAAAAAAAAGAATTAAAAAATTAGCCATTTAGTGTTTATGAAAATAAATTTTGAACACTTTAAAAAGGAAAATAATGAATACCATGTTGATCTGACAACATAATTCAGTGATTTTTGAAGCCTGATTTAATAAAAATATGTAGATGAACATATGCTTGCACTAAGTGTAAATAACTATTTTAATGTTCCTTTGTAGTAGAGTAAGAAATGCAGCCTAATAATATTCTTTTCACATTGCACTGCTGTGCTTTCCCTCTTAGTCGCAATTCTGCCTTCACTCAAGAAGGAGCACGGTTACGACCCTCATCGGTTGGACATTTAGTGGACCATGTAGTTCACACATCCCCAAGTGAAGTATTTGTAAATCACAGATCTCCGTCTTCCACCCAGGCTAATAGCATCATACTGGAATCATCACCGTAAGTCCTGTTGGTCATTACGGTAAGGTAGCATATACGGAGAGCCAGAAAATCTAATAAAAAGGTAGCTGTTATTTCTGGAGTATTAGTAGAAGCCTTACTGAAAATTAAGTGATATAGAAGACCTATATCTAACATGTTCCTGGTGAAGGGTTACAGTACCTTGCCCACCCAGCCAAAATGCGGATTTGCTGTAACATAACCATTAGTGTCTGGATGTGGAAGTGAAAGTTATTTTTTTCATAGGACTGTTTTGTGATAAAAGTTTTTAATTCCCATGAGTTTGAAAATTTTGCTTTTTGTCCAAGCACAGAAGTATGAGTGAGCTTTAAAAATTACTTGCCAAAATACCTTTTTAGCACCCCAGCATTCTAAGACTCCTAGTACATTTTGTGTATTGTTTAAGATAGCACTGTCAGGCTTCTGTTACACTAATTATTCTTGAAACTGTAACCTTGCTATGCTATAGTGGGCAAAAATAAAACCTGTTACTGTGTATTAAGTTCAGAAGGATGACAAAAAAAATACTGAATTATTTGAATATGCGAAATAGTTACTTGTGACAGTGATGAATTGGGGCAAGAAGGTGCATGGTGTACACTGTATTAACACTGCCACTGTATCTTTTTATATAGAGCTATACATGTAATGCTAAACTTGCCCTCATAATTTTGTATAATCTCTCTTAGTAAGGAAATTGTGCAAATTGTTTAAAAACATTTGTGAATTTAAAAATAGCACATACATAACTACACATTTATAAAAACAAATTGTATGTCTTGGGAAAAATTATTCTGGGAAGGCATTTGACACAGTTCAACAGCTTTGCTCGGACTATACCTTCTTCGCTTGGACTGTACCTTCTTTACTTGAACTATACCTTCAGTTTTAACAGCTGTGTGTAGCTTCAGGGAGGGAAATAGAATACCAAATTTTTAAAGTTTTGTAAAGTAACACAAGACATTTTTTATGATAGGGTACAATAGTTATAGTTTCATCATCACCTCGTTATTGAGCTTTCAGAGTTATAAGACAGTAATTTGGCCTAATTAATCTAAAATCCCTGGTTTTTTTGGTGGGCTTTTTATCAAAGGCAGGGGAGTCTCAAAACTCTGGAATGCTTGTGAATCTTTTCTCATATTAGAGTTTTGCTGTACAAAAGCCACACGAGGTCAGGTTCCTTCTGTTGCAAGACTTCCAACTTAAGTCAGTTATGGGAAACACTGAATGGTAGAGTGATACAGTCAAGTAAGCACAGTTCTTAGTCTCTTTTTATTCATATGCCTTTAAGTTGTAAAAGATGTTCCTGAGTGTTCTTGAGATTTGTTTATTTAATACCTGATTTCTCGTGTAAGTTGCCATGGAAATGGGTCTTAAAAGAAAGGAAGTGGTTTTGTAAAGTGGTTATGCAACTATGGTGTTCTTTTTCATTATTTTGCACTTTGTATACCCACGCAGAAGAAGTATTGCTCTTCTGTCACTAAGCTTTGGCGCTTTTTTTTTTTGTTGGGTTTTTTTTTCCTTTGTTGGAAGCTTTAAAGTGGAATTTAATTTAATTAAACCAGTGTAGTTATCTAGCATAAGGTATTTTTTTGAATGAGGACATTCACTGTCAAAAATACATGAACACCATTAGGATCTTTTGAAAGTTTCAGATAATGTTGATTTAAGATTCAAGATCTGTGAAAGAAACTAGTACTCATGAAGTTCATATTAGCTATATAATTTAAAATTGCATTGTTTTAGAGTCAAAAAAAACTGTTTCTTAAACAGTTTGACCTTTCTGAGTAGAAAAAAAAAATTGAGTAGTTCATCCACTAATCTGTTGGGAATTTTTTTTAATTGATAAATTTACATACGTAAGAAAGTCAGGGAAGGTAACCAGACAGGCTTTGGGTTTCATGATCTTTTTGAATTTGGAGTCAGCATAGCAAAAGAAATTAGAGTTTCAGTGCAGTATTTAGAAGAATACTATAGCTTAGCTAATACAACCTTGAATTCCACATTTTTCTTCTTCATCTGCTTATGCTATTCAAAACTCAGTTGAGAGACGCTGCTTGTAGTTCCCTGAGGTAATTATAACCTTAAATTCCAACAGCAGTGATATGCGTTTAGTTTAATAAATTTAGGGGGTGTGTATGAAACTTTTGCTTGATATATTAAAAGGTCTGACCGGATATATGTAACAAAAATACCCCAAGCTTGTCAGAGCCAGGGCTTGTGTGTTATTTTATTCTTATGTAAATTGCTGAATGCAGTAACAGAGAGCTGCTTTGCGTGCAAAATAGGCTCCTTTCACTGCCATTGTCTAGGCATTCATAAGGAAATTCAAAGCTGACTGGGCAAATATAAAGCCAATGAAGTTTTTGCCCAAGGCTTGGTTGTTAGTTCTCACAATTCATTATGCTAATACATTACAGTACTTGCATTGCTGCTTCTAAAACGCTCATTTAAGTAACTTTTCAAATCTTTTCTAAAAGTTTGTATGTTTGGTAGGAATTTATTTGTGTTTGTTGTCATGAATGTACAAACATCTAGTCAAACATAAGATCCCATCTTTTGCTTTTATCAGAATGACGTCTCTACACTCATGTTTTCTGTTCCTTTTTTATTCAGTTTAAAACTCTCACGAGTAATTGTTCACAGGAAAATACATAGCTATGTTGCCCTTCACTTAAAAGGCGGAATAATCTGTACGGGCCAGACTTGAATGAATAAATGCATAGGCAGTTAAAAAGCTCTGGGTGACCTTTGTGTCAAAGTCTAAATAGTTTATAGCTACCTTGAAAGTTCATTTTGCAAATGTTGGTAATCATATTTTATCTCTTTCTCCACAAAGATTAAGTTAGAAAAGCTGCTTATCCTGAAAAATAAAAGTATGATAATTTTTACTATCACTTGTGTTGAAAAGTGTTTAGGAATATTATTTTTACTCCCTAGTGTGTTTTGAACATGAGGCTCTTCAGACATAAGATACTGAATAATTAGTTATGGTTTTTTCTTCTAACTCTGCATGGCAAAAAAATATTTTCTGAAAGTAGAAATTAAACAGAAGCATACCGGAGAACATATTTTTAGGATCTTTTCAAATGTACCGTTTCACACACTGACCAAAAAAATTATCAATATTTTCTAAGAAAATTTACTAGATTTTTGAAAAGGAAAACATGTTTTTTCAAAGTCAAGTGTTCTAATTCCAGTACAGTTTTCATGCTTTTTGAAAGGTTCATCCTTTATTTTAAATCACTGTAGACAGTTGTGATCTGACTTTTTAATTGAAAATGTGAATCTGGGATCAGGCTTTCTTTAACTGCATAGAAACAAGTTACGTGGTATGGAATTTGATTTGTGCCTTCAGTTTTCTAACTTGCAGAAACTTGAAATGCTGTGCTGCCTCATAATGAGAGTCTTACCCTGCAAACAGCTTACTGTGGCTAGACCAGTTAAATACATAGGACTACTCTTGTGGTTCCCTGTGCTTTTTAGAGAGATACTATGCTATGAGTTACCACTACAGCTCTGTGATAACGAAAGGGACAGTGTTCTATTCTGGTGTCAGGGAGTGTATGTACTTCCCTCCCCATGCAGCGGTCGACCTGTGATAAACCAGTTCTCCTTGTTGAACAAGCAGAGAGCTACCCAGCCTTGTCAAAAAATCAACTTATTTTTGCTTGCTTGGTGAGCTGCCTTAGCCAAGGGAGGAGTGCCAGAATGGTTCAAGGAAAGGGCCCTGTGGGTACGTGTGAAAGAAGGAACGGAGGCACCCATTTTTGGTGGTAGCATGCTCTTTAGATTTAGCTGTAACCTGTAACTTCATTCTTGGTGGTTTTTGGATTTGCCACTAGTATCAGTGGGTTGTTGTCCTAAGTCATTATATGACTTAATAATAACTTTTAATGTGGTTAGTGGGGAGGAAGGCATGCTGGTATTTAGAAACTGGCATTCAAACAAGTTAATGGGAACTATGTGCTAACTGCCTTTTTGGGCCTCTCAAAATGTTCTTCTTAATTCTTAAATATAAAACCATATAATGAAAGATGAATCATGTATTTATGTAATACAAATTATACAGTTAAGCTTTTATTCCAAAAGGACTAATAAAGGAAATTATCCGTATTATACATAAACATAGAGAACATTTTTATAAGTCTACAGTAGACTGCTTGCTGCTCTAAAGCAGAAATAGAACTTTCTGCTATTTAATCTCCAGTAATGGTGTTATAACTCAACTAAAAAAGGCATGCAATGAACGCATTTTTTACAGTGTTTCAAAGCTCTGCATGTTTCAAAGGGGAAAATGTTCAAGGGGGAAAAAAAAAACAGCTCTCTTCAAATGCACACATACACTTTTAATTGGAAAATTAACACTCTCATTTTCGTGGGCATTTCAAATAAATAAGTGCAGGGAGACAGCTGAGTTGTCTTCAGCTTGCAGTCCTCCTGGTTTTAGATCAAAAGCCAAAAATTAGTTATGCTGCTTGTCTCTGGGTTTAAGACTTAAATTGTAGGCATTAATTTAAGATGCAAACTAATTGATATTCTTATGGAGGAAAAATTAAGTGACATATCTATTTTAGTTTTTTTGGGGTTTTTTTTAGCAAGAGTGCAGAGTATAAATACAGTGAGTTTTACAATAGTTCAGCATAAAATGGGTTGATGATACTAAAACCATTTAAAAAAAAAGTCATGTGTAAAAGATGGAAGTTACTGGTTCTGTGTACAGTTACTTGTGAAGAAAAAAGCAGCAACATGTCCAAACATACACTTCCAGTATATTCTACCACAGTACATTTTTGTGATTCTAAAAATACATATAGACATTCCGTTCTCAAACTCTTGAGTTTCTTCTAGCATTTTCAGTTTATTTGGAACCCTGAAAGAACTGTCAATATCTCATGATCATTCCACTTCATACTTCTATTTTGGTGTTTAGATCTCAAGAAACTCCTATAGATGGGCAGCCTCCTGCATTACCACCCAAACAATTTAAAAAGAACAGTTGGAACCAAATTCATCATTCGCACTCACAGCAAGAACTGGATAACCATATTAATGAAACATTTGATGTTCCTGAATCACCAGAAAAATCCACAGTAAGTTTTTGGATCCACTTTAACTATTCTGCTTTTTATTGGAATGATAGTCCTACTTTCATGAGCTTGGTTCTGTTGCATTTCAGAGAGCTCTTATATTTGTGCATTACATTGCAGCATTTCCATTATATATACTGTCTCTTTGCTAGCTCCCACTATTTTTTCCACCTGCTGGTGTAGTCCTTTGTCAGTTGTTATCAAATGACTTACATTTTGATGGATATGTAAGCATTTTGAATATTAGCTTTTCAGCACATGCAGAAATTTCTAACTAACCTCTTCTTTAAGGTGTCATTTACTGTCAGTTTTAGAGACGACATTGTAGACACTACCACTGGTGTTTAATCTAGTTTATATCAAAAAGCTGAAACTGAAAGTGCTCTAGAGTGGTTTTGTCAGGAGAGGTTTCTTGAATCTCTTGGTTGCATTTCTCATCAGAATTTCCAAGGAAGAGACTCGAGCAAGGGCACCTGTGACAACAAACGTAAAAATCAAAGAACAAGTTCTTTTTCCACACTTAAGCACATGCTAGATGAGTCAAGATCAGTCACTTGATTATTGCCTGACTGAGGTGAAATCTCACTAACCATTTTTGTGAGTTTTTCTTCTGTCCCTCCAGAAGTTTTCAAGTGGTTCTTGGTTTTATAGTGATAAAAAACAGGGACAGGAGATGTTTTGCAGTATGGGAAAACTGTTTTAAATCTAGATGTAGCAAATACTGCATAAAAAGCTTTGGCAACCTCAGACATTCAAAATTGTGAGTCAGCTCCCAAAATTGGTATTTTAGAAATGCCTTTGGTTTATTTTCATTTTCATTCTGAACTCTAAGCCTAGGGTGTTCTCTCAGGCCTTGTTATAAAGCTAAAATTCTCATAAACCCCATATTTAATTTCATACGGGGGGCTTTAATAAAATTCACAAAAGTGACTTGCATATTTATGAGCATTTTGGGAATGTTGCAAAAAAACATTGCTTTAAATAACAAAAGCTTTGTCTTCTGTCAGTGCTTACCTGAATCATATTAAAGTACTGTTCTGTCTTGAAAGTTAACACTACTCATCAAGTTATCTTTACCAAATTGACAAAAATAACTTTCAGTTGTTTTTTTTAACTCCTTTTAGTTCTGCAAAACCAACACAGCTGCATGAGAATGAGATTCTTTTCTCTCTGTGCATTGTCGGTGTGATTGTTTGCTTTGGTCCAATGGGCCACATTTATGCAGCCTTGCTTAAGGCAGTATGCTGTTGTAATTGAAGATCTGATTTGGTCTGCTGATGGCTTTTTATTTCGCATATTAGAGAAGAAGGAATACAGCATGACTGAAGTTTTGTGAAATGGTGAATTTAAGTTTTGGAATGTGTTTGGGTTTGGTTGTGTTTTTTTTCCTAAGTTGCTTTTCTGACCAGAATGCACTTCAGGTTTCTGCACCACTTCTGCTGCTCTGTCTCAAATATTGTAAGGAAACCCTCTCACCCCTTACACTTCATTTAGCGGTTAAATTTCCTTCTTAAACACCCTTCCTTATCGGTAATTTACACTGTTACTTTCCTTTCCTTCCCCAAATTTTTCATCTTATCATACTATGAATGCATTCAAGGGAGTTGTTTTGCTTTATCCAAGAGCTTGAAACACCTGAAATTCAGTTTAAGAGCCAAGATGAGCAGACTTCTTTTACCTATTGAGCCTGCAGATTTTGAACATTCTTACGTGTAGGAATGTTTGTTTTAAGAAGTCCTTTTGTTTGGTTTCTTCCTTTCAGAATATCAGTTTTATGCTTTGGCTTGAAACAAATTTCTTTAATAATACTTCACGGGCTCTCCATAGAAACTATAGAAGCACTAGCTGATGTTCACTCTGTGAAATATATTAAGTATAAACTCAAGATCACTTCAATGGCACTAAGTTGATTTTTCCAGATTAAAAAGTATGTAATATTCCTCAGTTTATTGGTAGTTCCTTTAAAGGTGCTGTGTGATCAGAATGAAACTGAAAAGCAAGCAGCTGAAATTGTCAGAGCTTGCTTGGTGCAGAGCATGTGTCATGCCTCGTATTCCACTATATTGAAATGGAATAGGGGTATGGAACCAAGATTTTGCCAAACTTTTCCTTGCTTATTACCAGTATGTTGCTGTTAATAGAAAGAAAACCATACCTTCAATTATCTTATTTTTCATCATATTACATTTTTACTGCAGGCTTTTTACTGAGGTGTTAATTAAAATTATTTTAAGGCATTTCCGTTTAGTAAACTCTTTTTCTTAGGCCTGCTTGAAGCCAATTAGTCTTTTGTAATTCTGTTTCTTACTTTGAGAGAACACACTTTTCAGTTATGTCACAGAATCACAGACTGGTTAGGATTGGAAGGGGCCTTTGGAGGTGATCTAGTCTAATCCCACTACCAATGCAGGGCCACCTAGAGCAGGTTATATAGGAATGCATCCAGGTGGGTTTTGAATGTCTCCAGAGAGGGACACTCCACAACTCACCTGGGCAGCCTGTTCCAAGACTTCTAAATGTGTAACTTTTCTCTTCTATGGAAAACTCAAGGTAAGACCATTTGTACCAGTACTTGATGTTTTCTCAAGCGTCCAGGAACAGTTACTTGATGAGGAAACTGCAAAATTATTACATACAGTATCCTCAAAGTCTAATTACAAATAATATGTATGTTAATATAATATAATCTTTGTTTACTAGCCCAATGGTGGTGTCCCTCATGACAATCTTGTTATGATCAGAATGAAACCAGATGAAAATGGAAGGTTTGGCTTCAATGTAAAGGTAACAGTACATCTATTCCCTTCATGTATATTAAGATTATTTTCTGACATTTGTGATTTATTACTAACTTAATTTGTTTTTAAAGGGTGGATATGATCAGAAGATGCCGGTAATAGTGTCCAGGGTGGCTCCAGGAACACCTGTAAGTTACAGAAAATTGGACTTGGTAGCATTACCTGTGTATTTTAAAGTATGTATTTAAAACTGTGAATTATTTCAGAACTGCCTATGAAAATCACAGCTTGTGCTCCAACATTATTATAACAAAGCAAATTATGTTTAGTAAGAATTTGATGGGGCTACGTAACATTTTTTAAAGTTCTTCAATTATCTGAAATACTTTTTTTTTTTTACTGAAACAAAGCTTAATTCCTGAAAATTACAAGGAGTTCCAGATATTCAGTATGTGCTGTTTCTTGAGCTGTGTCATCCTAAAAATACATTTACTTGGTTACCTTTTCTAAATACAGGCATTCATATAAGCTCACATAAATTATATACAGAAAGAATCTTTTAGTATGTTTAAAATAACTGAAATAGCAAATCTCTCATTTTAGTGACATATGTACCTGAATAAAGCCAAGAGTTATACTAAAATCAGGTATCATGAATCATTCATCAGGTCTGATTGTCTGTTCTTACTGGTGCTTTGTGATTATCAATAGTGTCTTCAAGCTAGGCACAATATTTTGTCAGTTGACTGCCAGAAATACTGACCTGGTATTCAGCTGAGAGGAGTCAGCTCTGTTCATACCTTTTAGAGTGAGCCATTTATTTGCTAACATTTAAGAAGTACAGCTTTTTTTTTTTTATTTCTTTAAATTTTGTTTTTTACTATTTGAAACTATTCAAGTGTTTGTCAAGAGCATTGTTTTTGTCCCTGTTTATTATTCCTGAAATATTTAATAACATAAATAATTTTGGCTGAACACTTTAAACATCCACTCTCTAAGGACAAGGTATTTGGTGATGGCATGTGCTCTTTCTTTTCTGCAACAGTGTTTAGGCTATGATAATAATGATTTTTATTACCTGATTCCTCTCTCTGGGATTACTGGGATTTGTGCATTGTCTTCGGTCCTTAGTCTTGTCATTACAATTGCAGCGTTTCATACCTGAAGCATTTAAGCCTGTGAAATTGATTTGGACAAGGCTTTGCCATGTTACTCCCTTCTCTTCAAAGATAGGAGCGTCCTGCTTTTTAATTGCCTGTACAAAAATGTGATTCAAACAGTTGAACTTTCTACTTCAACCAGAGGGGTAGAGTAACAGCTGCTGAAGGACATGTTACAATGACAGTCACCTCCCAGCTGCAAATGGACTTATTAATGTGAATGGCACTGTCTTATGTATTGTGTAACACTTAAATTTATCATTTGAATACAAAGCAGCAACCATAGCAACTAAGCTATTAAGATTCAAGTCCCTATGTATAGTTACTTTATGTTGCTATTTTAAGGTGAGAAATTGGAAATGGCTTGTTTTACAGCTTTGTTTTTTTTATTACTTTTTTTCCCCCTCCACCTTGCAGGCTGATCTCTGTGTCCCTCGTCTGAATGAAGGGGACCAGGTTGTACTGATTAACGGCAGGGATATAGCAGAACATACCCATGACCAAGTTGTTATGTTTATTAAAGCTAGCTGTGAGAGACACTCAGGGGAACTTGTGCTCCTAGTTCGACCCAATGGTGAGTTATTTATACATAATAATAAGAAAAACTAATAAATCCACAGCTTGCTTTCATTTTCTAACCTTCATTTTGTGTCCTGAGATGGAATGCTTAACATTGTTGTAACAAAGAACTCCCTTCCTTGAAACAGAGTTGCAGCGAGAGAATATATTGTGGAAATCTTGATCAGTCCTTTACTCTAAGGAGCTATGCATAATAACTTAAGTGTTGAAAATTAACAGGAAAGTCAGAGATCAAATATTTCAAACTGATAGGTAATTTGAATTTTGTTCTCATTCTCATTGATAAAAATGTCCAGAAAGCTGTATGGATAATGAGTGCAGTTTCTGAGGCTGCTGTTATTCCATTAAGGAAAACAAAACACAAGCAAATGAACAAAAACTCCTCACTAAACACCCCATGTTTAGGTGACTTTGGAGGTCTATATAAGCAAAATCCTTCCATATACTTTTAAAACAATCCAGAACAGCTGGTAACATTTCTACATGATGAGGCTTAATAGAAGAAAGTGCTTGAAATGGAGTCTAAATAACAGCTTGTGCATTATATTCATGAAATACCCCACTGGAGCATTGCCAGCAAATGGTCACTGGATTTAATTCAGCTGCATATCTGAAGTGTAATACAATTGCAGGGGAAAAAATAAAATGAAAAATAATGATGTTTAATAGGAATAATTTAAATTAGTTTAGGAGAGTACCTCAGCCACCTAAAAGCAATTTTTCCTTTATTCATTTATTTGCACTCCCCACTTGTTCTCTTATTCTGTAAGTTCTCTTGCAGCTTTTTTGTGCTTACTTTCTTTTTCAGTTAAAATTGTTAGCTTTGTTTACAAATTTACTAAAACAGTTATCCTTGTGTGTTGATTATCTTCATAATTTGGATAAAAACATTTGAGTTTTAAAGTGAGGAGTTGCCAGTTTTTTCCTTCATGGTCATGAGACATTTAAACGCAGGCTTTCAAGCATCATGTCTCTTATGTGTAGTAGAAGATGCGTATTATGTTTCAGTTTGTTTATAGGCAGGGCACGCAAACAGTTTTGATAGCAGTATAATAGCATACATTAATGCTGTTTTCTCAGGTGGTCTGCACATCTTGCCCTAGTTGCTGAAGCCTAAAATCAGTTCAAAGTGAGTTAAAAGCGTAAATGCTATTATAATGACTTCAGAGGCATGATGTGAGAATCCGAGATTAGGGAGTTACATCAGAGAAGGTAGGGCATAACCCAAATTTTCATCAAACTTTTAGCAGTCAGTGATGTGCTTTCACTTAAAATTACTAGTAAACAAAAAATATTTTTTATGGATTATAATAATCAGTAAAGGCTACTTTTGCTAATGGAGGCTAAAATCAGTGTGCTAGTAAATGCGGACTTTTCTAAAGGAGAAACACTTGTTTGTTGTGCTGTTTTAAACAAATGATGCAGACTTAACTTTGCTTGCCAAACGGCATGTTCAGTCAGTGTTCATACCTTTATTTGTTACAGCTGTCTATGATGTTGTGGAAGAGAAGCTGGAGAGCGAGCCTGACTTCCAGTACATCCCTGAGAAATCTCCACTTGATGGTGTCCATCAAGATGATAATGCTCTGAGAGAATCCATGATTCAGCTAGCAGAGGGGCTTATCACTGGAACTGTTTTGGCTCAGTTTGATGTGAGTACCATGTTGCCTGTAGCTGTGTGCTACAATTCTAAGAAATTATTTAAGAAGAGAGGACTTCAATTGAATTTCATTAGAGTCAGCATCTTGTGGCAGAACAACTGTCTTGTGCTCTCAAAAGAAAAATAACAACCAAAATAAATCCAATCCTGTGTTGTATGTACAAATTTATAGCACTGAATAATCCTAATACTAGTTTTTAGTGTTGTTATAAATAGCTTTATTGATTACTTACCGATTTTTGTGGTTATGAGGGACCTATGCTAATAAAATGCTTTCACAGAGATGAAAACTGAAAAATGTAAACCGAAATGTGTTCTGTATTCAGACTTTCATTCCACGTCTAATTTACTGTAACATTGTCTTCAAACAAATTGTGACATCTTGATCATTTTCAGTGATCCCACAGCATAACTCATAGTGCTTTCTTTTGAAAAGTACATTATTATGTGTATTGAAGCTACAGTTGCTCAGTAGTTTACGTTCTAAAAAGTACCCCATGGCAAATAATAAAGTAACAGGTCTTTTGCATCTATTATGATCTGACCATTGGTTTTGTCTTTAGCAATTGTATAGGAAAAAGCCTGGAATGACAATGTCTTGTGCCAGATTACCTCAAAACATTTCCAAAAATAGATACAGAGACATTTCGCCTTGTAAGTATGTGTGTTTGTATATGTGCTCTAAAAATATTTTACTGTGGTTAGTAAATAAGTAACGTATTTCTAAATTTTTTTTCAGATGATGCTACACGGGTTATTTTAAAAAGTAATGAAGATTACATCAATGCAAATTATATAAATGTGAGTGGCATTTTTCAAAGAACTGCAAAATTAAGTAATTTTGCAGTTTTTCCGTGAAGTTGGTTAAAAAAAAATGTTTTCATAAATCTAGTTGTGACTAGAATGGCTGATAAACCTGTAGTCAGGTGGTGTAAAATTTACTCTTGTTATACTTATTTGGTAATGTTTTCTGGCAGGTTTTTCTATAAATGAATCCCAGAGAAAGAAAAAAACAGTAAGAGAAGCTAGCTCCCTCTACAAGAGGAATTAATTCCTTTCCAAGTATTAATGTGGCAGTAGTGTTCAACATCAGTAATGTTTAATCTGGCACCACTTTCTTTTACACCTTCACCCCTCCTCCCCTCCGCATTCTCAATAACAACAAAATTACAGCTACTTACTTTTCCTTTCTGGAACACAAAACAGTGATTAAATTAAATTCCAAGATCAGCATTTTAAAAGCTAGTGTCAGAAACCCATAGAGCATGAAATGTTTGCACCTGAATTATTTGCCAATTGGTCTATCATTTCTTTTTTTAAAAAATTAATTGTGATTATGGCAACAACATAACTGTCAGGTAATATGTGGGGTGTACTTGTATCTTATGTGTGTGAAGCATTTTGAAGGGTTTTTATTAGTGCCGATCTAGATTTAATAACTTGTAATAAACAGAGTTAATATAGTTGATGCTTCTTTAATGTGTTAGCTCCTAAACAGTAAACATCTGATGCCTGACTTTGATTGTCCGTAAGCATGAAAAGAACTACTTTGTCTTCTCTTAGATGGAAATCCCTTCTTCCACAATAATAAACCAGTACATTGCTTGTCAAGGTCCATTACCGAACACTTGTCCTGACTTTTGGCAGATGACTTGGGAACAAGGCTCATCTATGGTTGTAATGTTAACGACTCAAGTTGAACGGGGCAGAGTAAGTAAAAGATTTCTTTACTTGCATAGTCTTATAGAAACCTGTTGGTGATTAGCCTTTTTAAACATTTGAGGAGCATACTAGTATGACATGTAATATGACAAAGGGTAATGTTTTTAAACTAAAAGAAGGTATATTTAGTGTAGATAAAAGGAAGGCACTTTTTTACAATGAGGGTGATGGGAACACTGGAGCAGATTGCCTAGAACAGTGGTAGATGCTCCATCCCTGGAAACATTCAAAGTCAGGCATGACAGGGCTCTGAGCAACCTGATCTAGTTGAAGATGTCCCTGCTCATTGCAGGGGTTTGGACTAAATGACGTTTTTAAGTCCCTTCCAAACCATTCTGTCATTCTTCATAGAGGGCAGTGCATTATTGGTACTGTTGCAGTGATGACTCTTATATTTTAAACCTTCTGATATTGTTAAAGTAGTTAATATTTAAACTTTACTCAGTTCTGAAATATATTGAAGCCTTCACATATTTCTTCAAATGTATTGAAGCCTTCACATATTTCTTAAAATATTTTAGGCTTCTTTACTGTAAAGTAAAAAGCATCTAGAATTTACCATCACAGTAGGTTTTTTCTCTAAACTTCAAATGAAGGAACTCCAAGAAGTTTCATCAATTTTTTAGATTAGTTCTTTGATATGTAGGAAATTAATTTTTTTAAGGCAGCCTACCACAGCTTTGTACTGTTAAGATCCCATGCCTGAAGGCTGTCTTCAAGAGAAACCTTGATAAGCTTGAAATCTAAAACTTTTCATGAAATGTTCTTCTGTGGATGTAAACAGTTGTTTAATCCTATGAAAGAATCATTTTCCTTTAAATCATTTCCATACAAATATCTGTAAAAGTACTGGTAATAACATAATTATAATTACAAATTTCTAAAACCAACTTGTGTATGGTGCTGTAAAAGGCCTCAGGTGTATTTTGTGATGTTTCTGGTTTTATTTTTTAAGCTATAGTTTTTCCTTAATAGCTTTGTTTATTAAGCAGCCCTGTCCTTTGGAGGCAGGCAAAACAATCAGATCTGGTCATATGCACAGTGTGATTTCAGAGTTACTGGGTTTATAGTCTGGAGCATTCACAGTAGCACTGTCTGGTTCAGTGTGTGGACAGAAATGACACTCTGGAATAAAGGTTTAGTGGAATTTCTCCACATTCAGGATTTCTTTTGAAGATGGATTTATGGTAGGTTGTGGGTGTTGTGATCAACTCAGACTATAGTTCAGCTCTCTATATATATTTTGGTTTAATAACCATATATTTGCTGGAAGGTCAGGCCTCTAAATATAATTAAAATAATTGAAGGGGACTTGCAGCATTTTTAAACCATTTTTCAGTGACTCAGTGTTTGCATAATGCTGCCTGCTCCCAAATAAACATGATTAGAGGGCATTTCAGTACAAGTGTGCTTTTTCCTTTGAGTTTTCTTTGCAGATCTGCTAAGAACAGACTTGCAATAGCAGTTCTCTGAGGTTCCCCCACCCCTTCAGTAATGATATTTGTGGAGTTCTTTGGAGAGCTGCTTAATAATGAAATAAAAGAACTTATTTGTCTTATACCCATAGGCAGACTCCCTGCTCTAAAGCTGATCATGAGGCTACTGACATCACTAGCCCACTGCATGCCGAGATGTCTCAGTGGAGCAGGAAGTCTGCAAATCTGGCTGCTCTTAAAGAATTGCCAGGTGGGTTGGAAAAACAAAAGTACACTTGAGCTGAAATGACCTCTGCAATTAGGCATTTAAGCAATATATCTGAAAGTCTTAGTAGTTGAAGTTTTCATTCACATTTAATGACTTGATTGGGAGTCTTTGAAGTCCACTGTCTGCATCCCCCTAATTTCTTCATTAGTTTAGCAACCTTTTCGGGGCTTATTGCCTTTTGGTTCTGGATTTTTTTAAGTTTCATTTGTTCTTTTCCCGTATAAATGTGCTTTAAGAACATTAGATTAAGATTTTGGAGGTCAGAAATGTTTGTAAAGCAGCACCTTTGTCACTGAAGCGTAAGATGGAATATTTATAGATATACTTTGTTTTAAAATTTTAATGAAAGTTAAAGGCATCCATCTTCAGTGAAACTAACCTCAAGAGCTGGTGCATGTGTCCTCTTGAAAACAGAACCAAGAAATCTTCATGATACCGTATTTTATTAACGATAATTAGGTAACAGCCTATTTGGTAAGTAAAGTAATAGTAATTACAAAATTATCAAAATAGTCTTTTATGAACAAAGGTATAAAGAACCGTAGAGAATGAAAATAATCTCAGACGTCTTTAAAAATGTGTTCACTTCAGGTTAAATGCCACCAGTACTGGCCAGAGCCATCAGGAAGCTCATCATATGGGAATTTCCAGATTACTTGCCATTCAGAAGAAGGAAATCCTGCTTATGTTTTCCGAGAAATGACACTGACTAATCTAGAGGTAAAATCGCAATACATTTTTAAAGTACTTACCTGTGGAATCCTCACAGACTAGCTAAAACTTAATGAGGGTTTCATTTCAGCTTCGTGGTATATCCACATAGAACTGTTTATTTCTAGAGCCTGTAGAAAACTGCTTTTTATTGCCATGTACATACCTAGTTTAAATTCTGCTCTTAGAATGATAACAAATCTTTCACTAGCAAAATGTTACAAAGATTCAATTTCCATAATCATATTAATTGGGTTTCAGTCATGTAAAAGATGTATAATTTGTCTTAGAAGTCTTTACTGGTGTCTTTCATGCCCTGGCCAAAGAAAAAGAGTAATTAAAGAAGTTGAGGAACTTGTTGTTCCCTGGATGTTTTCAAAACGTGAGCCACTAGAGGTATTTCATTATTACAACTGAAATTGTGTCTTTGTACAGGCAAACAGTTCTTAAATCTTAATAATTTCATTGTTAAGAGTATATGCAAGTAGATGGAAGATAAATCCTGCTGAGAGAATTAATTGGGATTGATGACTATATGTAAACAAAGACCTTCTTGAACGTGCATTATGTGATTCTTGGAGCACATGTAGTTTTCAGAGTGTCCCCAGCTAGTATTTCAATCTCAAAAATGTCTGGAAATGAATATCTGGCAGTTAGTTCATATACTCATTTCTCACTGCTTGGGTTACCAGATGAGATAACCAGTTTTACAGAATTGCTTTTAGTTAGGTTGCAGTTAAAAATCCTTCCCTGTGTCCTGTTGTGACAATCTGTAAATGATTCTGTGCCTAAAAGGTATTTAAAGGATCTTTGAAATCCTGCTTTTACAGTGATTGTATGTTCTGTCCCCTCCACTAAATAAAGGCAGATTATATTTGTGATATTAGAGCAAGGGGCAGGAGAGAGTGGAAAACAAAGTCATTCTGCATCTTATATATACACTTGATAAAATTAAGAGGTGCAGATAAAGCCAAGACAATGCTGCTGTTCACACAGGGTCTGAAGGAAAGCTTTTATGCCTGAAAGTCCATCCCCTTCCTACCCCGGTTCTGTGATCTGATCTAGTAAGATTGTACCTCTTTCTGTTAAATTTATTTTGCTAAAAATTTGACCACCTTCTTGTACATCTAATGTTCAGGTAGATCATTGGTATCCTTGAATTGCTTTGCTATTACATGGCGTATAATATTTTTAACCTGTTGAAGATGTAAACATTTGTGGATTGCCTTTTTTGTTTTTAAGGAAAAAATAGTAATTAGAAAATCCAGGATAAGCAGTGACTAGCAGTAATAAGCAGTAATAAAGTGCTGCTAGTTTCCTGAAGCCACTTCTATTACAGGTTCAAGTTGCTGTGAATGTACCATTGATTATTATTTTTTAATTATAATTATTTTTTGCTTTTTTTTTTCCTGAATTACTCTCGATAAACTTGTGTTTCTGATTAGAAAGAGGAAAGCCGCCAACTAACCCAAATCCAGTATATAGCATGGCCTGATCATGGGGTTCCTGATGATTCTAGCGATTTCCTAGATTTTGTGTGTCTTGTGCGAAAGAAGAGGGCTGGCAGAGAAGAACCTGTTGTTGTTCATTGCAGGTATCCCTTTTTTTTCCCAACTTCATTAAATCATCAAACTGCTCTTGTTTATCATCAAATAGATTTTCTGTGATTTGTTGTAAATAAACATTTAATTGTATCTGCTTTGGGGGTGGATGACAAGAAAGCTCAACATTAAAATTAAGCAATTACCTAAAACTGTAATCATGTGTCAGTAAAGAAAATTTTGAGTATCTATATGCATTGATCTGTGCAGGGATTTTGTTAGGTTTTGGGGTATTTTTTGTGGTTTGTTTACAGTTTAAATACTTTTGCTGTAATGATTTAGGGAAATGGCAACACATATTTAGAAACCTTTTCCTGATGGTGAATATTCTACAAAACTCCAGAACAACTATATAAATAATCCATAGCAGAAAACATGGGTGGTATATGCAATGATCAAATAAGTCTCTCAAGTCAGCAGTCTTAGGCTGCATGATATTTTGATGTCATACATTAAGATGACACATTTTCTCTTAATAATTTGCTTTTGTCATGAATTAGAATAGCTCTATTTCTCAGATTTTTATATATACAAAATGTGGGGGGTTGTTTTTCTTGTGCAATAGTTTTTAGTAGCATTTTACATTTGTATAGTAAAATCCAAAATCTTAATCCTTTAAAATACCTAATTAGTAAACTATAATAACAATACCAAATGACTGTAAATTAGCATATGTCATCATTATTATCATCCTCCAAAGGTTTCTAGTAATTGTAATATTCCTTATTCTGAAATAAGAAGATAGGGTTCATTTCAAGAACATAAACATGGCTTTGTCAAATCAGCCCAACATTCCAGTAATGATCATACCAGTAATTGTGAAATGACACAAAAATGTACAGTGTATGCTAGGTATTTCTGTGTTTTGTTATCATCTAGACAATAGTGTGGTTTATAATATGATCTGAATAAATATCTGTTTGGAAATTCTGCTTAAGTGGATGGCTGAGTTAAGGCCATCCCTCTTCAAAGGACTGACAATTCTACACTGAGTGGTTTTGCTCTGTTCAGGCAGGTGGAGGCTTCCAGTGACACAGACACAATCCCTGCCCTAACAGTATGGGAATCATAATGATCAATCATGAGAATCATTGAGAAGGAAGGTCTTTCAGGTATGAACTATGCTCCAGACATCATGTTTCATTTTCCATTTTGTTATTTTGTTGTTTTTTCTCAGTGCTGGGATTGGACGGACTGGAGTTCTTATCACTATGGAGACAGCTATGTGTCTTATTGAGTGCAATCAGCCTGTTTATCCATTAGATATTGTAAGAACCATGAGAGATCAAAGAGCCATGATGATCCAAACACCTGTGAGTATCATACTTGCTGTTCTGTGCTGCAGAAGAATAATTTCCTATTATCTAGTCATATAATTAGATGTATTTTTAATATACTTGCTGTTGATTATACTGCAAAGAGATCACCTTTACCCAGTACAGGTGTAGCCTTGGCTCCAGGCAGGAGTAAATTGCAAAGGCTATTGGAAAGTAGCAATTCTTTAGATTTTCCACAAAGAAAAAATTGAAAAAAGCAGCAGCTGTTTCAGGGATACCTGGCAATTAATGTCAAGAAGCCAATTTTCAGTACTGTTAAAGTTACTCAGTGGAAACAGCAGGAGCCTAATTCCAGGTGTTAAGAATGGGAGCAGTATAAAATCTAAGCATGGAAAGATCTAAGACATGCAAGGAAAATCTTCAGTGATACAATTCAGTGATTTTAATATTGCCTTAGCTATAATGAAAACAAGACTTAACTTTGCCCTGTAGTGACTCTGAGAAATAGTATGTTTTAAAAACTGTGTAATTCAATCTGATCGAGGTATATCAGTAATTTTAAGTATGTTTAGTCTAAAAAAGTATCTTGCTACCAGTATTCCCTTGGTGTTCTCTTCACATTTGGTGCATCTTACGATGCTAGACTTTTTCCTGGATCTGTAATGTTTGGAGCTTTTTGAGCTAATTGTGATGTTGCTTTAATGTGTTATATTTCAAAATTGCAAATGTTTTAGAACATATTTAGAAACTTCTTATCAGTCATATGTACCTAAGAATAGTTAGTGTTCACATTTTTAGAAAATATCTAAAAAGGGTTAAAAGATTGAGCTTTGTTCTAAAAACAAAAGGCTTGGACTCATGGTTGTTCCAAGCTATCCAGGAACCACTTCTTAATGCTAATCATTCTGGGTTTTTTTTAATCTTTTTTTTTTTAAATCACTATCCAGTTGTAGAGTTTTGCTCGTAGTATATGTAGCATTTAAAAAGAAAGTGTTTAGAAGGAGAAAACACACTAGGTCCAGTAGCAGCTCTCTCTCACAGCAACCTAAAGGTAATTGAAGATACAGTTACCTGAGGGTAATGGGTAGTAGCTTTGATGTCCCTGCTGCTGTTCCTCTATAATCAAATTTGAATAAGCCTTTTGTGTTCTTCATAGAGTATTCAAACTGACAAAAAGTGTATATGGATCTCCATTTCTAGGTTTCTAAGTCATCTCATTCAGTGCTGCTGTCCAGTATTCATGTTGCACTAGAAAAAAAGTTGTATTATTCAGTTAGCACAGGAAGGATGAAGAAGGTGGTCATACATGAAAAATAATAAAGGGTGACTCTTGCTGTTTGTGGTGACTATACAGTATGAATAGCATGTCTCTCTAGCAAATATAGAGAGGAAGAAAATTCTATCAGTAAAGGTAGGAGGTTCAATGGTAAGAGGTTTAATGGCAGTTTTTCACACCATGTGCTAAATATCTTCTGGTCTTCTCATTTTTCTTAGAGAAACCAGAAAAAATTTTCAAGATTCAGTGAAATGCAGGTGTTTACTGCATCAGTGAGAGAAGGCATAATAAAAGACTTGAAGTGGTTGGGTTTTTAAGATTTCATAAACATTATCTATTATAATTTTTCCCTTGGCACTCTCTTCCTGATTTGTATATCCTGAAAGATTCATTTAGTGTCCACAAGATGGCCCTGTGCATGGGCGTCTGCTGTGTGTACTACGAGAGGAGAGTTCAGTCTCCTTCAGGAGCCATTGGAGGCAAAATAAGTATTTTACACAAATACGTATAAATTTAACTGTTTTAATATACATGCAACAGTAAATAATTATTTTATTGCTAAATCTGTCACTGTGCCTATTGAAGATCTGACATCACTAGTGACTGCACAAAGAGGAATATTCCACAACACAGAAAAGGCAGATATGCTGGCTTTCTGATCAACATACATACCATTATGCAGTGTTCAGTGATAGTTGTGGTGCTTTAAAAAACAGTGGCTTTATTTATTTTCATTTTATTCTAAGTTGATTACGGTTGGGATTTTTAAAGAATTGTTTGTTAAAATATATATATATTAGTGGCCTCTGTGTATGCAGGTGTGAGACTTGAATACATTGCAGAGTTAGACATTATCTAATGTAAAGAAACTGGAGTTCTGGGTTTTTTTTTCAAACATGAAACAGTTTTCTTTATTACCAAATTCTGAGAGAGAGGTGCCAGTAACATACCAGCACTAATCTAAGTATGAAAAAGTGCTTTGAAACTACAACTTTTAAATCCAAGTGAATGAAAATCTCAGGTCAATGAAACTTCAGCAATGAAATGAAGAGCAGAAAATAACTGAATAGGTGATGTTGTAATAATAGCACTGGTTTTGTGGATATGACTTTTGGTATGTATTTCAAAGTGCTGTTCATCCCATTCTTCTGTTGAGAAACAAAATGTTCTAATATAAAGTCCCTGATTTGTGTTTCCTAAACTCGCTTTGAAGCTCAGTTCTTGGACCATCAAGAGAAGGGGATGGGGAATCTTAGAGGCCTTTTCTGCTTCCAGATGACATGGGTCAAGTACATTTCTTTTCAATTTACTGAATTTACTTTCCTTTTCAGAGTCAATACAGATTTGTATGTGAAGCTATTTTGAAGGTGTATGAAGAAGGATTTGTTAAACCTTTACAAACATCACTGCATAAGTAAAGAGCAAAAAACCCCCAGGATATCAGTTGAGGAATCCTGTCCTCTATAATAAACTGGCAGCATTCTTTGTGCCATAATACTGCTTGCAGGAAATGATAGTGAAGTACAGCAAAGAATTGACAAAGGACTTTGAAAACTTCAGCACTGTTGCACTTTATGTTGAAACAAAATCAGTCTCTGAAACTCTTCTAACTTTCATCTGTTTGAAGACTTTATTTTTGTGCTTTGCTCCGAACAAACCATAAACTGAAAGAACTAATTGTGTTCAGGGTAATCTACGATATTTTGTTGTAGTGCCATATACTGCGCTTCTGATTGAATTGCTACAAACAAGGCTTGGAATTATTTCACTCTGTTTTACACCCATGTCTCTTAAAATGAAAAAGAAACGAAAAAACACACTAAGCCATGGTCTTTTTCCAGTGCTAGGTTTATTTACTACGTACAGACTCTCACTGTTTTGTTTTTTACAACGTTAGCAATATTGCTGTTACTAGATAGATACACACTGCCTACTGATGCAGCACACTTTGTCCTACACCCTTACTAGAGACCAGCTGGTTGTTAGAGGAGAGCTGGCGTCTGTGTTAACCCAGCGGTAGCTGCATAATGCCCACTTACCAGCATCTTGTACAAAATAATAATAATAAAAATATAAAAAAATAAACAGCATTTCTTTGACACAGCTTGTGTGTCATGCACTGGTGTATTCTGATTCGTGTGACTTAAGATTACGTGATGGGAACTAGTGCATGCATTATGTCTTAACCCCTTAAGTGCCTTGAGACTTACAGCGTACATCCAGTGAAAGGCACTCATGATTCTGTGGGGGTGGTATTGTCCTGTCATATTTATCTTAATGGGTTCACATTTTAAAAAAGGCCCTTGGTGCTTGGACTATGTTACCACAAGGGGTCATGGAAATACCATTCCCTCTTTCTTTATACAAGTACCTGCGTGCTGCTTTCGGTAGTGAAAGCTCCTTTGCCAACTTAATGAATGAGCATTGTATGCTGCTGTGCTGTAATTATGTGAAAAATCTGACACATTCCTTCATTCCTTCCAACTAGTAACTTACTAGCAGCTTACAATGAAATGCTGGTAGGGTCATTAGGAGCTGATACTTCCATTTATCCTTTTATTGAGAATAGCTGTCTTACTCGATTAGAACATAACTTTTTAATAGCACTGATAATTAAGTTGAACTTACAATCAGATGTGATTTAATTCCATTATCTGCTAACCAATTACTTGTTATATCCGCATAGTTGATTTCAAGCCATGTTCGTACAGGTCTGCCTTTTATTTTATATTATTTTATTTTATTTTTTAATTGTTTGGCTGGGGGGAAGGGAGGAGAACACTATGAAGTTGTCCCAGAACTTCATTTTAATTCCATAATGACCCCAGTCGCCTTCTGTTATGCTTGTACAAAATTGTTCCAGTTGAATATGGGTTGCTTCTTATTTAAGTAGCTAGCAGATTTGTAAGAAATGTCTGTGATACAGTATCTGAGCTCATTCTAAAGGTACATAAATGTCCCACTTTTAATATTTTTTCAGTATAGGAGAAACCAAGTCAGAAGCAAGGTATCCGGTGTAATATACTGTAAGAAAAAAATCAGTCACTTTGACTGCCCTGTGACAACATAACTGTGTGTCCTCTATTTAAAAGTTCTAATTTATTGTATTGGTTTCCTGAAAATGTTTACCCAGTAAATTTTGTTATAAACTGTATAGAGCATAGAATTAAAATGGAATGTTCTACACTAAATAATTTTTAACTATTGAAGAATTATATAATATACTGTGTTCTATGGACATTTGAAACAGATCAGCTATGAACTATTAATGAAAGGGGATTCAGGCAAAGTGAAATCCTAGCTTAGGACTTAGTAATAAACATGAACCACAATGCCAAATGGAAGATAGAGTTTTAAATATTTTTAGAAAACAAAATAATATTAAATGGCCTGTGGCCCTGTTACTTGTGTTTCTGGATTTGATGTTTAAATCAATATTATCCCTCAGTGAAAAATTAATCTTACAAGAATCTTCTGATAAACTGAAAAAGAGTAATAAGGTAGCTTTAATCTTGGTTTTATTTTAAGCCATTTGCAACAAAAGAAAACTCCTCTTTAGAATTCTTCTTTAACTTCCATGTGACAAGATTATTAGCTGAGATGCTGGCTAGTTGGAAGGTTATTTTAAACTGAGCACTTAACATCTAAAAATTAAAGTAATTTATCCATTATATTGAAATAAATTTTCTTCATAGTCAAGTTCTAAATGAAAGTAAGGGAAATCAGACACGGGAGTTTATATCAACATTATATAGTGTTGGTATGTCATGTATTTAAATATTCCTATGTAAAGTTGCCAAAGCAGTTTTGATTTCAAAAGACCCATTTATACCACAATTAAGTGTGGAATATTTATTGGTTGTCTGTCATTACTGTTTTGATTACAAACACAGGCAAGAATAATAACTCTCTTCAGAATTTTTCTCTGGACTGGCTTAGGTGGATTTGTAGTTTATGAATTAGTTGCACTGGGGAAAAAATGAACAAAGTAACTATTCTTAGATAATTGGCCATCAGCAACTCAGTGGCTTTTTGGCTTCTCCAAAATCAGGATAGTGGAAACCAAAATATTGATTGGGAAAGGGAATAGTGCTGAAGCCTTTCTGTACTGTAAAACTTTTGTTCATATGTTTCTGCCTGTTGTGGTATAAATGGCCTTTAAAATACTTTTATATGGCCAAAAAAAAAAAAAGCAAAACTTCTAAATATTTTACATTGGGTCATGAAGATCTGTATCATCCTTAAGAGCTTTTTAAAGAAGTTTTTTTGTATGCTTCATGCTGTACAAAACATGAATGTATCTTTCAGACATAATGACCTATAGACCTATATGTGATTGGTGTTATGACTGTTGAATTTTATGAATAATTATTTTCATACCATTTGATTAGGAAAAATGTTGGGTGGATGCGGGAAAGAGTATGTTTGTAACACTTCCATGATGCAAATCCAGTTTAAGAAAAACAAAAAAATTCATTGTAAATAAGAGCAATATTATGACAATTTTGTGCCAATGTATAATGTTAAGACTTTTGTTTTCCTTTTAGGCTGGGATTGAAAACTACCACTACCATCTCTTGTTTAAAGTGTATTTGAAAGTTTTGGGTTGTGGGTTTTTTTTTGTTTGTTTGTTTTTGTTTGTTTGTTTGTTTTTTGTAGAAATACCTGGGGCTCTAGTGGCAGCTTTAAGTGTTCTGGGGCCTTTTTTCTTTCTTTGCTAAATATGAAATAAGGTGCAGGTATTGTTTAATAAACCATCTACAGATTGTCAGCCAATCCACTTTGAGAAATACTGCTTTAGATACTCCAGGTAACTGAGAGCTGAAGAATTCACTTATCCTGAATTTGGAAGCATTTGGGGTTTTAAATAACTTGCAAGTCTTAAGCAACAAAACACTGCTGTTATGCATTTTATTTTTATATATTCTCTCCCAGTTATGAAAAAGCCTGAATTTTTTTTTCTCACTACATTTAATGCTAGCTGATGTGTCTTCCATGTTTCTCTGTTAAAACTTGAAAGCTTATGTTCCATATAGATAAAGCAATAATACTTATTCTGGAATGCCTGATTACAGTCTGGCACACCATCTATTAGAGAAAGCAGTTGGGAGATAAAGGAACATGAGAGTTTGTTATGGAACCTGTGTAGCTGGCAACTTTCCTTGGAGACCTTCCAGAAAGCTTTGTGGTACCTGTGGAAGGGCCAAAATGCAGCAGACCTGCTGCAGTTGCACTGCTCAAGGCAATGGGAAGTAGGGAAGGTCTGGCATAGAGATGCTGGAGCTCCAGGTATGCAGTGGAGCTGAATTATGTGGTATTTTTATGCTTCTGCAGTGTGCGTGCAGGTGTGTGGGCGATGTTTCATGGCTCAGGGAATTGGCACAAGCATGAAAAACTCTACAGATCCACCAGTTTCCAAGTAAAAGCAGGTCTTCCAATATGTATGCTGTAGTTTTGACTATAGAGCCAATATGCAGGCAATCTTCAAGACCCTCAGCCCTAAGGATAAAAGGAGGGATTGGGTTATGGTCCAAATTAAAATTTTGCATGTTTAGACTTCCATAAAGTACGGGAGTGTTGCCCTGTAATGTCAGTTGTAGTCTTTGTAGTTCACATTTCAGGTCCCAGGTTGGCTGGGTCCATTTGCTCATTTAAGTACCCACCTTTTGCATTGAGACTGGAAAAGTTCTTTTCCATTGCTATTCAGTGCTGGGATCCAATATCAAAGTCTGGTAAAAACATACTCGTTGCTTAGATGTGAATCTTGCATGAAATTACAGGGATTATAATTAATGGTGATTGGGAAGCTGTTACAAGGGCAGAATGGTTTGTTTCAGTGTAACTGTTCTGTCCAGTCTCTCTTATCCCACCGCAGTTATCAATTGAAACTGATAACTTGTTTGAGGTTTTTTGTTTGTTTAGCAGTCTACAGAGGCCAGTTTGTTATCACTGGATTGTACCTCTGTGCTAGTTGCTACTGGTAATGTGCATCTTCTCGCTTCTACACCTACAAGTTTTAACTGGTGCATAAGTTGTAAGCTCTGGCTGTTGGCTGAGGCACATTTTGCTCGTTGAGAGCTCAGTGGTGAGAATTTGAGATAAATCACTTTAAAAATATGCTGAAATTTCCAGTTAAAAAGATTTTGACTTTTTTATTTCTTCAAATCTGTAGCCTCATTTTAAAACAAACAAACAATAAAACCAAACCACCACTGAAATATCTATCATTGCAGTCTGCTGTAGCATGAGCTATGGTTTCACAGGCTGGCTGACAGTTTGTTGGTTGTGTTATTTCGTATTTAGCAACCTTACACATTTTAAAGGGTAAATTTTTTCCAAGTGTTTTGGTGTTTAAATAGTAGCACTTTATCTCATGCTTACTACTGACTGAACTACTGGACAAAATAAATTGGGTTTGGAGGTAAATGCTTAATGGGTTTCTGTACAGAGATGATTCGGATTACACCCTGGTACAAATGTTTTCTATTGTTCCACCCATTTCTGGTTTGTTTCTTATGCATTTCTGAGGGACTCTCAGAAAACAGATATTAATATTTCTATCATGTCAATTTTCCTATCTTAAAAAGAATATAAAGCTTGCGTTTGGGAAAAAAAAATGGTGCAACTAAAAACTGCAGGGTACTTGTAAATGTATCTCTGATCTCTCTCAGCTAGCTACAGATTAGCTGTGTTTACTGGAAAGGTTTCTGCCAAGCATTATTTCTAACATCAGATCACCTGGAAATAAGTATATTTTTTTTCTTAACTTATTTGAATTTTGATAACTAAAGATAATGCATAGCAAAGTTTAAAGAAGTTGTCACCCTTTTGCTCCTAGGCCAGGGGCCTAGGATATGAGTGAAACGGTTAAACAGTTTACATTAAGCTGTTGTTTTCTTTAACTAAAATATATCCACAAAGACTAAGCTATAAACGATCCAGTGCAATTATCTCAGTACATTGGGGCACCGCAGTATCAACCCACAATAATCTTACAGGAAAATTAAGTAGGAAAACAAAAGTTTTACTTTATCCAATGCAGCTAGATTTGTTTTCCATTTGCTTTGGTTCATTTACCAGTGATGCCACTTTAACCCATCAATTTGGCAGGACTGTTTGTGTAAGGTTTGGGTTTTTTTCTGTACCAGGTGCTATACTATGTGTATATGCAAAGGGAAGAATATTATTTAGATCATATTAACAATCAGATGGTGGCAATATTTTTTGCTAATTTCTGATAATTAATTTGCATTTCCAGGTGTGACTTTCAGTTGCCAAATTTCATCTCATTTCATACTGCTGAATGATGGACTGCAAGTGTGATCATCTCAGAGTTGAATAGCTCTTTCATTGTTTAGACTAACTCTTGTGTATCTTTATTAATGTTGGGGGGTGGGAAGGTTCTTCCCATAAGTAGACTTTTGCCTATAAATCTGTTTAAAAGCACATGAGGGGGAGGAAAAAAAACCTAAATGCAACATCTTGGCTAAAGAGCCAGTGTGGTTGATCAAAAATGATGGAAAATTGAAATTGGTCAATGGACAATGTGAAAATAAATTCATCTTTTGTCACTGCAGCTACTGTATGCTTTAAAGGGCCTTATGTATTTGTCTTCATTTTGATAAAATGAAATATCTTGCCATTAAAATGATACACTAACTTCTACCGAAAACCAGCAGTTCCCAGGATAAATATGCTAATTAACATTTAACAAATCTTGTTTTAGTCTTAAGTAAAATTTCATTCTATTATGTGAAAAAATGCTGTTATGCATATTTTGTGGATATATTTAATTTCAGTTGACAGATAGTTGTCTAGGTACAGACTTGAAAAAACATATAGTTTACTTGTGGATATTAATTGTTTAATTGCAAAATAAAGATGTGCTTTAGTAATTTAAAGTTTTATTTTTTTTTGCAATTTTCTTGCTACTGTTCACTCGGTTTTGCTATGCTACTTTTATACACTTCTGGTGCCAGATAACGTTCATCTTGTGTTTTACTTTTTGCCATCATATGCCATAAATAGGATGCTATAGTACTATGGATTGAGCACTAGATGAGAATGCTAAATTATCAGGAATGAAATTGCTTGGGTACAGAAGAAGCAGGACATATCAACCAAAGTTTTTTACCTGAAAATATCTACTGCAGGTTTTGCTCTAATGGAAGAATAACTTTATCTCTTATACAGTGAGTGTTTTGGAGACTGTTTTTAATTGAGATTATAGTCTGATCACAAAACTGAGGGTGTGAGGAATACTGATATGAACAAAAATTCCAGACGGAAGCTTGTGATGAAATATTTGCTGCCAAAAAGCAAGGGGGTGTTCAAAGCAAAACTAGGAAAAGATGATGAAAGTTAAGACAAAATCTCAGGAGGGATGAGAGTCAAAGTAAAGAGACCCCCCCCCCCATATTTTCATAATTTGACTCATTAATGCTGGGTTTAAAGCGAGGACAAGGTGTTTGGATTTGAAGTACAAAAAGATAAACTACTGGGAAAGCATTCGAGAGGAGAAACAGGTACGTAGTAGGAAGAGATCTGTTTAAACTGGAATAGAGTGGATAGAAGATGAGTCACAGCTGCCACAGTTGCATGTGTGTATACTTGGACTGTATCTGAGTGGCAAATATTGAGGAAGGACTCTTGATTACATGGAAAGTAGCAAGAGGCTGGTGTGAAGTAAGAAGAGCAAAAATGGCCAAAAAAATTTTTGTATCATTGAAGCTACAAAAAGGAAGCTGGAGCTAACAGCCTTCTTGGTGGCAACAAGAGAGCTTGTGAGTGACAGAGTGGAAAGAAACTCAATGTGAAGAAATAATTGAAGATGGGCAGAAAACGTAGGGACACATAATTCTTCAGGATGCTTTGTCTAGTAGGCAAATATGTAGACTTAATGTCCAGGAGCTACTATTTTTCTAACAGAGATCTCCACTAAAAACTTAAGCATCCTTGTTATGCAAATGATCGGTTAGTTGATGTGCACTGAGAATTCATCAGGTAGCTGAAAGCCTCCAAGATAAACTATTTTTCCCCTTTAAATATAAAAAGATTCTGTATGTTTTCTGTGGGAACTTTATTATAAGATCCCACATGTATTTCATGACAGACTACCAGGAGCAAGCCTAGTCCCTGCTCCCCTGGTAAAACCTATCTAAATTAGCCCATTTTGTGGTTTATGTTCCTGGGTAAATAGCCAGGCACAAACCTGAATCTTGCCTTTTCTGTAAGCTTGCCCTGCTCCTTCCGTTTGGGGCAGGAGAGTATTGCTCCGTTGTCAACCCCAGGATGCTAAAATAACTGACGTTTAAGGTTAAAATCAGCGTGTTGCTTTATCAGCAAATACTGGGCAAGTCGGCAAGTGCTATCAAGACAAGTCGATGTATCGGGCACTGAAGCTAATTTTCCCTAGCAATATGTGCTTCATTATGCCAGTTCCTGCGCATAACCGTGAGTGGCCGGTTATCTCAGCCCGGGCTTCACTGCTGGGTGTAGAAAACACCGCGCTACCGGTAGCAAAAGTGGTCCCAGTAACAAGCCAAAGTCTCTGCTTTCCCAGGCTGCTACCACAGGCTGGATTCCCAGTTATCCTGGGATTTTGAGAGAGCCCGGGGCTCGTTTGCCCAGCGCAGGGTCACTGCTAGCAGAGTTTATGTTGCCTTACCGTTTGTATTGCCTTTCCTGAGGTTTTCTATTTGGAGATCTCAAATAGGAGATCAAACACAAATATTTATGTACTAAAGAAAATACGGTGCGGTGCAGCCCTTTGTAATTGCTGCTGTAACGCCAGCGAGAGGGGCTTCTCCCTGAGGCGGCAGAAACAAACGGGAAAAGCGATCAAAGTATACAGATCAGCGGGACAAACTATACTGGTGTTTTCAAAGGACAGCAGTGCACGAACTGCACTTCTTCGCCATAGTCTTGTTCCAGCGTATAAACAGTGTTCGCTTGCCGCTGGTTCTGCCTTACTGGATTTATTGCTGCCATCATCCTGTCAGGCGCGTTTAACGAGACGATTTTCTTCAGCACGGTTTACGGGCGCGTTTCCCCGAGGATTCCCGCTGGGGACCGCTGCAGTTTCCTGGCCGAGCCGCTTAGGGGAACTTCCTACCGCGCCTTAGCAAGAACGCCAGGAATTTCGCGGAATGGATCAAAGCCACCCCGGCCCCCCACCGGGAAGCGCCGGTCGCGGGCTGGTTTCCGGCTCCCCCTGCTTCGCCGCGGGGCCCCTCTCCCCCCCATCCCGGGCAGCACGTTAACCACGCCACGCCCGCGGCGGCCCTCCGCTGGGCGATACCACCTGGCTCGGGGCGGGGGCGCCCCTTCTCCACGGCGATCCGCCCCTTTAAAGGGGCGATTCCCGCGCTGGCGTCCCAAAGAAGTGCGCACTCTACCGCCCGCTTGCCGCTTTTCCTCCCTGCCGGCCTCCTCCTTGATCTACACTCCCACGCCAAGCGGAGAGAGCAGCAGCGGAAGCCGCCAGGTGAATAAGTGTGGACGGGAGGAAATGGGCGGGGAGTCGTTGCCTGTTTAAGGGCCTCCCACCTCGCTCCGCCATGTTCGGAGGCCCGCCCCCTCCCGGGGGCTCCCCTCCACTCCTGCCCACCCTTAGGGCCTCGAGGAGCCGCCGCGGGGACGCGCTCCAGCCGCCGCTGGCTTCGCAGATCCTGCCGCCCGGGCCGCGGGACCTCCCGCTGCCACAGGTGAGCGCCGCGGGGAGCCCGCTGCCTCCGCCAGCACAGAGGGGCGGTGGCGCCGCGCCGGTGCCCGAGCGGCCAGGGCGGGGGAGGGGGTCCGCGACCCCTGAGGCGAGGCTTCCGGGCAGGTGGGCTGGGGCCGGGGGAGGGGGATCTGCGGCCGTTTCGTGCCGGCCGGACAGGGCGGGTGTTCGCCGCGCTGTGCGCTCGGGATGGGTTGCGATCCGGAGAGACCGGCCGGTTGTTGGGACTCGGGGCTGACTCACCGCCGAGTCCTCGAGTTTGCCGCGCCGGGAGGCCGTCTTCCCCGCGCCGAGCGGGGAGCAGCGACACGGAGTAGCCGTGCCCGAACAGCTCTCGCTTGTCCGTGCAAAGCCTCCCTGTGAAGAGCCCGGCGCCAGCACCCCTGCACGGCCTGAAAGCCAGGTGGTGGGGCGGGAAGTGGGTTCACCTGTAGCTCTCTTTATGGTGAGAGGGATGGAGTTTGTCAGCCAAGAAAGTAGCTGGGATCCTTAGGTGCTTTCCAGCCTTGAGTTGAGCATCACAGCCTCGTTGAGAAGTGTGGCAGTGTTGGTGGTAATGAAACATTGCAGTCAGTTATATGAGATCTACACAGTCGCTGTTTTTTCCCTAGCGTACTTACAGATTGTCCTAAAAATCACCCAGCTACCATCAACAGTTTGAGCTGAGTTTTGTTCAAGGTAGCCGTAGGCTGTGCATGTCTAAAGAAGCTAAACGTCTGTTTGGATCTCTAACTGGTTTTTTGCCAAAGTTTGGCATTTTTAAAGAGCTTTCAATGTAGGGTATTATTTTTTTCTTTTCTGTGAAAAAGTAACATCTTGTCCTTCCTTTGTGGATTTCATAGCAAAGATGCTGAGCTTTTTCCGCCGAACCCTGGGACGACGGTCTATGCGCAAGCATGCGGAGAAGGAACGGCTAAGAGAGGCCCAGAGAGCTGCAACCCATATCCC